GAAATGTTAACCTGTTCATCTTCTTCCCTCCTTAGGCCTCCGCTCCTGCTGTACTCTGTAGGCAGCCTAGCTAGTCAATCTGTACTATGGGCTCCCTTCACTCCCTAAAATTGAACTTAAGTTCTGCCTCCTGGACTGTACATCACCCAGCCACCCCTAACTTGATTGATAGAGGATTATGGTGCTACCTTACTGTTCTATGTGAGAAAAGGTGCAGAGCAGCAGCTGTTGACCCATCCAGCAGGAAAGGGAGACAAAATAAAGTGTTGGGTACCCTGTCACGTTACTGGATTTTAGAGGGAGCAGACAGATGACCGCTGAGCCCACAGTGGGGTGTTTGCCCCAAATTCGGTACTAAGTGAATCATGTGAGGTGTCAAACAAAAGCTTATGTTCTACTGATTCTATGTATGCTACTCATGTCCACGTGTAATGTTTGTATGTGGAGTTATGAATATGGACTCTGTGCTGATACTATGAATGGACTGCCTGTCATGAGGAAGGAATGTCCAATGAATGATTATGCTAATTAGCAGGGCCTGATGAATGGCAGCAAAAACCGCTCGCCATCCCCGTACTGCGCATGTACAAGAGCCGCAATGCACATGTGCGCGCTGCAAATGAATGGGGCGCGCGGCTGAAATCTACTCGCCATGGGCGAGTAGATTGTATTGTTTATCGAACCCTGCTAATTAGCATGGCTTCGGGGACCATGGCTCTCAGAGAGGCTAATACACACCTGAGGAATGCATCTGGAAACATGCAAGCCAGCCAGGGCATAATGGCGGCTGGCATGTGGAACAGAGACAGGTCACTTGACCATGTGACCCACTCCAGCTTGGGAGACACCAAGAATGAACATAAAATGCCATGAGGCTGTCTCCATCTTGTCTTCAATCTTGCTACTGATCCTAGATGCAGCCTCACTAGGGACAGAGAGCCGGGAAGGATTGCTGACCCCTCCTGACATAGGATGCACACCAGAGACTTCTAAGCTAGCAGTTTGTAACATCTCTGCTATGAGCCTGCATCAAGAACTTAGTGATTGATGCATATAATGTATTCTCCTTAACAACCTTACTCTCAATCTTTTCTTTCTTTTGTTAATAAATCTTTAGATTCTAAAGGATTGGCCCAGAGTGATCTTGTGGGTAAGATCTAAAGTATAAATTGACTAGGGATTTGTGGCTGGTTCTTTGGGACCGGGAGAATCCGTTCGGGGTAGGTGAGATTGGGTTCTATAACCTCTCACCAGTGTGTAGGCCCAGGGCTCACTGTGGCACAGGGAGAGCTGGAGTGTCTGAGGGTTTTGCTCACGAGGCTTCCTGCTGGCCGGATCGGCAGCTGAAGCACTCCTTGTGACTGGTTTGTGGCCTATTTGGGAAAGGTCTCCAGTCGAGGGCTGTAAGCTACCCTGGTTTTGAGCAATTTGCCCTGAGTGGACACCCTCAGCAGTGTCCCAGTCTATCACATACCTCCAAGAAGCAAAAGTGCTGAATACTCTTGTATCTTGAAAAAAAAAAAAAATCTGGATTCCACATCCACACAATCAGAGCCCATGAGGTTCCAAATGAGATGATGTGGGGTGCTCATATCACTCAGAACCATTGTTCTTTGCAGACTTAGACAGGTATTGGCATTGCACAGTTCACACTCTCAAAGTTATTTTTGCAACCATAGAGGCTAGATTTTTTTTTCCATTAAGACTTGGAAAAAAGCATAATTCTGTAGGAAAGGTTAATTCCACAGCAAATCCATAGTTAAAGAATCCACAAGGACCGACCCATAGCTTCAGCTTCTAAATTCTTAGAATTACACTGACTCTACATAGGAGCAACAAGACAAATTACATATTGTACTCATTTTCATAGCCTCTAGGCATCCCAAGTTTCCTCATCCTTTTAAAGGGGTGGCTCCTTTTATTCTTTGGTTACCCTTCTCCTTTTCCATTCTATCTGCCTTTCCTGACCCCAAGTCACTGCTATGGCAGCATAACTGCCACATCAGTAGGGCCCTATCAACAAGCCTCTAGGCATCCCAAGTTTCCTCATCCTTTTAAAGGGGTGGCTCCTTTTATTCTTTGGTTACCCTTCTCCTTTTCCATTCTATCTGCCTTTCCTGACCCCAAGTCACTGCTATGGCAGCATAACTGCCACATCAGTAGGGCCCTACCAACATCACAGTCCATTTTGGTCAATTTCAGAGTCATAGGAGTTCATTATTTCAGCTATTTAAATCTGAAAATGTACAGTATTATAATTATAAGGGTCCTGACCTAAAAAGGAGTGGGGAGGGGTGAGGAAGGGGCAACGTTGTTGCACAGGGGGTTGGAACACTGCTATCCTTACTTCTGCACTGCTTGCTGAGAACTCAGAATGGCAGTGCCTTGAGAACTGAGCAGCTGCAAATCAGAAACCCATTTCTGAAGGCAGAACTGCCACCTGCAGCAGTGCAAAAGGGTGCATGGTCTGATATTACCACCCTTATTTCTGCACTGCTGCTAGTGGGGCACTGCCTTCAGAGCTGGGCACCCAGCCAATACTCACTGCTCTCCATCCACCCAACTCTGAAGTCAGTGCAGAAGTAAAAATAGCAATACTGTGACTCCCTCTGCAACTCTTTCGGGTTAGAACCCCCAACTTGCGAAATACTGGTTTCCCTTCTGAAATCTGTGTAGTATAGGAAAAGAACACATAGAATACCAGATTCAGGGGGTGGGAGGAGAGAGACCAAATTTCACAGTCTGACATGTTTTTCACAGCCATGAATTTGATAGGGCCCACTGCCTCAGTATCTGTTCAGTTGTGCTGACTTCATCTGCAGCCTGTTCTACATTTAAAAGTTAGGTCATCATAGCTATGGTCAGGGGAGAGGAAACATTCCTAGCTAACCTAGTTATGTTGACCTAATATCCAGTATACATACTGCTACACTGAAGGAAGAATGCTTCCACTGATGTAACTACCATTGTTTAGGAGAGATGGTGTTCCTACACCAATAGAAAATAATCCTTCCATCAGCATAGACTGAGTCTACTCTGCAATTAAAAACTGTGGATTGGCCCATCCCAGATCTAGGGCTCTTAAGTAGAGACCACAGCCCAAGTCCAAATATCCACACTGCAATTAAACAGCCATGCAACCAAAGCTCTGTGAGCCCCAGTCAGCTGGTACAAGCCAGCAGCAGGTGTCCAGTTGCAGTGTAGATATACCTTAATGTGTTATATTGGTATAGTCTCCACTGTGTAGTCATATCTTGATATCCAGAATTCTTCCCACTCACACCTTACTATCCTGGCCTCATCTCATCAAAGCCTAGCCTATTTCTAAAATGCACATTTTATTAAAGGCACTTTTCTAATTGGACTCCCCAGACTACTCACATCAGGCTAGATTCATTTGCATCAATTTTCTTAGCTTTAGAAAAAAAAATTCTTTTAAATGCTGAAGTCATGAAGAAAAAAGGAGAAGAGAGAGTTACTCAGCTTCTCTTTCCTTCATCCCAGAAATCAGGAAGCCAGACTACTGCCAATTCTTTTAATCAGAGATTCATGTGCCCTCGCTACAGAAAAAAGACTACTCTGAAGGGCTTACTACTCAGTGGGACTCTTACATTATCTAAAACTTATTTTAGTAGTAAGAGACAGTAACACTAGTAATTTAAGCAACAAGTATTATCACAGTTCTCTCTTTTAAATGATATCCCAAAAAAACTACAGATTCCATTACAATGGGGATAGAGGGCTGCAGGTGTTCGGCTTGTGATATCATAGCATTGGGGTGCCTCAGGAAGAACCCAAACATTTGCTGAAGCAATTAATTATTCTCTCACGAATTTTAAGTGTGCATTTCTATATAACATTTTGGATTAGTGATAGCAGATTTAAGAAAGAATGTGATAAGGGGGTATCTCCCACATTGGCATTTTGTTAGCATTTACTAAAATTAAGTTTGTGTTCAAGATTTTAGGAGTTGGACAGTAATCCTGAATATAAAAAAATCCTACATCTCTCAGAGTCAAGTACCAGGGATAATTTTATTTTTTTTAATTCTTCCTAACTTCTGAGGCCTGGTCTAACACACCTAAAATGTTGGTTGTTGATAAAAAGATTGTGAGCAAATTTACACCTCCTGAGCACCAAAGCTATGCCAACCCAAACCCTGGTGCAGACACAGCTAGGACAAGGAAGAAGTGCATCTGTTGAGCTAGTTATTATCACTTGGGGATGTGGCATTCCTATAGCAAAAGAAAAAAAGTATCTTTCTACCTCAGGTAGCTATTCCGCTGTAGTACACATAGTGTAGACGTGGCCTGAACCAAACTTCAAAATATTTAAGTATTGCTATATGCTATTCTGGATTCATTTATCAGTTGCTTTTACCACTGCTGGATTAGCAAGACAGAGAGAGAAAAAAATTAACATTCACTTAAAGTTTTAAATTGATATTTTCCTAAGACAAAATCCTCAATCTAGATAAGGACAAGGGTCAAGTTTATGAAACCTTCACTGCCAGCAATTTTCTCTCTGCTGTCACTCAGGCCCCTTCTCCTCAAACTCATTTTCTAGAAAAGCAAGGGCAAAAAGTTATAATCTCTTCCCCTCTGAGGACAGAAGAGATTATTCCTTATTATTTCAAAGGAAGAATATGTTTGGACATACAAATTGCCACACAACATACTCTATGGCTCCACCAAGGAAAAGGTGGATTCTTTACAACTTGCCTGCAAACATGTTCTAAAACCCTGGGGCACACAAGGCAATTTGCACGTTTACCTTATCTTGCCTGCATGACAGAAAGAAACTTGTTTTTAAACACCGTACACAGACCCAGCCGCAGAAACTGATTCACACACAGGTGGTCACTAACCATCACGCTCCTTGGGACCGCTGGAAATGCACAGTGGCGCACAGGCGGTGGGGGCGAGAAGGGGGGCGCGGCAGCGGCACAGAAGGGAGGGCAGGGAAGGGCTGCCAATGGCAGGGGGTGCTTCCCCTCGCACCTGTTTTGAACACCAGCTGCTTGTCATCCTGCGAGCCGAACTCGGACAGCATGGAGACGAAGAGGACGCCACACGAGTTCTGGATGCCGAACACCGCACCGTTGCACCACATGGCGGCTAACATCACCACCCAGCCCCAGCCGCCCTCCGGGGGCTCGGCCTCCTGCTGGGGCTGCTGCCCCTCAGGGGAACCCGCCAGCAGCTGGGCTGACTGGCCGCCTGGACAGCACGCTCCATTGTCCTGCCTCGGCTCCTCGGCCACCGCCTGCGCGTCCTGCTGCTCCCGCAGCCCCAGGCACAGCAAGGGGGCAGCGGAAGGGTCGGGAGCGTCCCCAGCTCCCTGAGGCTCCGACTCTTCGTTCAGCGTCATCCCCGCGGGCTCCCAAGCCAACGGGCTTTAGCAGTTTCTCTCCGGCTGCCTGGGGAGCTGCAGCGCTCCCGCTAGCCCAGCGAGGCGGCTGGACACATCCCGCAGCGTCGGGCGGGAAGCCCCTTATGACTCTGCCGCCCCGGCAGCACCAATCCGCTGCCCGCCGCGCGCGCACACGCGGCCCCTGCCTCGCCAGGTTGCTTTAAAGGGGGCACCTCTCGGAGGACGGGGCGTCTGACAGCAGGATGTCCCCCCCCCCACCGCGACTCCGATTGGATCGGGCTAGTGCGGAGCCACGCCCCCTGGCGGGACCCGAAGGGGGACGTGAACGCTGCGTGTCACAAAGTTTCAGCGGTGGCTCTGCTGAGTGGCGCGGGCTGGGGGGGGGAGGGGGAAGGAGAAGAAATGGGGAGCCGGGAGTTAACGGCTGCCGCTCGCGCGCAGCAGGAGGGAGCCCGGAGCCCCTCCCCCTCGCCAAGAGGCGCGGGACTCACCTCAGGGCTGGAGTGAGAAACGTGCAGCGAGACTGCTCGCTCCCCCGCCCCCGCCCCGGGGAAAGGCGCCGCCCCTGGGCCGGGAAATCACATTAACCGCGCCGCGGACCTCGTGTCCCTAACCCCACAGCTCCCCTCGGGACTAAGGAAGTGCTCAGCTGCCTCTGCGACCATGCACATGCCTCGCCCTGGCCCGACCTCGCGTCCCCGGACCCCCGCCCGTCCTGCCGCTTCCCGCCTCCCTCACAGCACGGGACACGGGGCAGATGGGGCAGCCCCAGGGCTAGGACTCCTCGCGAGGCTCCCAGCTGTCAGGCACACTAAGGGGGGGGGGAGGGGAAGCCACTGCCACAAGCTACTGTTCCTGCTGTTGTGCAGGATGCCCCCGAGGAGCGAGCAGCTAGCCCTGTCTCACACCCCTTTGGCAGCTGCTGCAATTTCCTTGGCCTACAATCGCAGCGGGCACCTTTCCCATGGCAGAGGCTGGCCCGATCAAGGCCATCAACCCCTGCTCTTATGTAAAATGTTGTGACATCTCAAGGGCAGCAGCATGGGACATTTCTTCTTAGTGGAAACGTGCCACTATTTCCTACACAGGGAATTTTCCAACATCCCGCTTCCCTCAACTATCTCCCTCCCATTAAGAGAGAGGAGACACACGAGTAGAAGGCTGCACCTCACAAGAAGTTGGCAGGGTAAGATTGAGTAAGGGAGTACTGGAGACCATATGAAATTGACAGGAAGGTGGTGATGGGTGGAACTGTGGAGGGTTTTCCCTGGGAGGTTGGGAGAACACAGCAGCTACCCTCACTTAAGTCTTATCCCCCTTCTATTTGTCCCTGGTCCCCACCACCCTCTCCTATCACTTCTCCCCACCTTCTTTCCTATAGCTGGTCTATAATTGAAACACTACATTGGTGCCACTATTGTAGGTGCTCTCATGTCTGTGTATAGTTAATCCACCTTGCTAAGAAGCAGTAGCCAAGTCAACTGAAGAACTTTTCCCATTGCCAGTGCTGTGCACACCAGGGGTTAGGTTGGTAATACTATATTGCTCAGAAGCTTCAGAGGGGTAGCCAAGTTAGTCTGTACAGGATAAACTTAAAAATAAATAGTCTTTAAAGTGCTACCAGGCTAACAAAAACATGTAGATAGAATTATGAGCTTTCGTGGGCATAACCCACTTCTTCAGATGACCAGTGTGTTGGACATTCTGGACTTCCAACTCTCCGGTCATCTGAAGAAGTGGGCTGTGCCCATGAACGCTCATGAGTCCATCTACATGTTTTGTTAGTCTTTAAAGTGCTACCAGACTATTTGTTGTCTTTTAAGTTTATATTGCTCAAGGTAGTGGATTTTTCTCACCCTCTGAGCAGCACAGTTATGTCAATTTAAGTCTGTAGTGTAGAACTGGCCCTAATCTTTATCCTCTATTCTCTGCCTCTACCCACTTACCTCAGTCTCTCTCCTTTCTTCTGGCCCAGACTCCTCCTCTCACTAACTTCCCTTGCTAGTGGGCCCTGGAACAGCTGGCTGCAGAGATCTCTGTTAGTAGCTAAATAAAGAACTGCTAGTGGTAGCCATTTGCAGTGTACAATAAGTTTTTATCAGTCCTACAAACACCTACAAACTATTATGTGTATACTTGAGCACTATCTAATGGCACCTTAAGACTTACATATCTAAAGATTCTGAGCAGTCCTGCATTAGGCAGCCCTGTGGCTTTTCTTTCAAACTGCTGCATGCTGGCTTGGATTTAGTAGAGGAGCAGCAGCCATGGAAGCATATGCATTTGTCTGCCTGCAGTTCCTCTCTCACAGTGACCCTAGACTGGCCAATAGAAAAAAAAATGATGAAAATTCTGCATAATATTTGAGGGGGTCAGCAGTGAGACATGACTGGACTGCCAAATGCATAGTTTTATGCAAGGTGTGCAATAATTGGCCTGAAGTCCTACAAGGCGGCCTAGCAGCAAGTAGGCTGCTGGCAGGAAAGGGACCAAATACAAAGCAGGGAATATAAGCTTATGTGAGCATTAAAATTAGCCCCTTCAAAACTTTACAGGGCATCCAGCAATATTCCCAACTTAATCCAGACAGTCTGTATCTGTTGCTTCTATACCTTGTATGGGAAGAAGAAAAGGGACTCTGAGTTATGGGAGTTTCTGAGGGAAGGTGTGGGAATCAGGTACAAGGAAAGGGTTCTGAGCTTGATTTGGGGAAGAGGGATCAGGAGATTTCAGACTCTAAAGGCAGCAGATTCATTTGGAAGAGAGAAGGTTCTGATCAATTTTGAGTTGCACAGGAGTGAAGACAAAATTCTGTATTGGCCTTTATACTGGCTGAATATATAGGCCCAGTTCTACAAAGCATTTGAACACATGCTTAACTTTAAGCATGAGGGTAGTCAGATTACTCATGTAATTGTAGTGTTTTGCTGAACTGGGGCCATGAACTGAATTGTCTGTATTCTGTTTAGTTTGGGGCAAGGACCACAACATATTCTTCCACCTTTTGACAGTCCTCAAAATAAAAATAATTAATTTTCCAAGTTTTCTCCACATTAATATCCAATACATTTGTCTGGTTATTTTTTTGGTGTTTAATTTGTTATTCCCTTAAATATTATCATTGGTTACACTCATGTTTGCCTTTAAAGAGAAATTATACATATTTCCATACAATGTCTTTTAAAACAACTTTAAATAATTATTTTAACAGCTAATATTTTTTAAGTGCTCAGAAGCTTTAGGGGCTAGCCGAGTTAGTCTGTACAGGATAAACTTTAAAAACAGCAAATGGTCTGGTAGCACTTTATAGACTAACAAAACATGTAGGTCGTATCGTGAACATTCATGGGCACTCACGAAAGCTCATACCACCATCTACATGTTTTGTTAGTCTATAAAGTGCTAACAGGCCATTTGCTGTTTTTTAAGTTTATTTTCTAAGTGGTTAGGTACTGTTGCTCCTCTAACCAGTATCAAAAACTTGTTTTCCCTTCCTCAGTTTTTTAATGGTGAATATCAAATTTTACTTTCCAAAAGCAAGATTCGTAGTTAACTAAAGAGCTACTGAGGTTGTTCTATTCTAAAATACTGTATAATTTATACTGTCAGAAGTTAGACTATGCAGACCCTTCCTTAAAATCTAACAGTCATTCTAGACTTAGTAATTTGATCTATATGGCAACTTCCACCAGTTGCTCTTGCGTACACTGTGCTACTATCAAATAACCAAATTTCCTTCCTTCCAAGTTGAGATCTCCGCTATTTCTTTATCAGTGCCAAGTTGTTAAAAGGTGGTCCTCTCTTCGCCCTTCTGGAATTAGACTGTTCTCAGTTACCAACTTCAGCTGCAAATTTACTTTGCAGGCTGAGTTTTGACAGGTTTGATCTCAGTAATTTTTAAATTTTTTGTAATTCCAATATTTGAAAGTTATTGTCTTCCTATCAAAAGGCACTGTTTTTCAAGAATAAAAAATGAATGAGATTAGTCAGACAAGATGACAGGAGAAAGGCCAGCCCTACTAGACACCTGGAGCTAATGGTCCCATTACCTTCATGGTGACCCAACCCAAGTAGAAAGAAAAATGTAAAGCTGAACAAAAACAGATAAACTACAAAGAACAGTCTTAAATATTAGGGATGGAGTCAACTGCCTTATATACAAATGAAAATTGTATTGATTTAACAAATCTGTTTTAACAGTTTACATTTAAAGTGTTAATAGAAATCAATTTAGTTAAAGACAATACAGTTACCTCCTGTAGACCATGCCAAGTGAAGGAGAGACAGTAGAGGAAATCATACGAGAATGGAAAGCCTGGGACAAAAAATATTTTCCAAGAGAGAATATGTTGGGGAAAGAGACCACAATATGAAGAACTATAATTTACCCCAAAAAGTCCTTCCCCAAGCTGCATTTAGGTCATCAGGTTGACATGGTTAAGTCACTTCAATTTCCATACCCAACGGTACACAAGGAAATCTGCCTTTCAATCACCACATCAAGCTGCCTTTCACGAACCTAACCAAATGAATCAGATATCTGTTTGCAGCTAGGTAGACTGTAAGCCAGGAGTGGGGAACCTTTTTTGGGTCAGGGGCCATTGACCCACAGAAAAGTCAGTTGGGGGCCGCACACAACTGCAGGGAGATGACGGGAGGGCTGAAGTGCCAGCACAGGCTCCCCAATGCTGGGAGGGAAGGGGGGAGGGAGCCCTGAGCCTCAAGGGCCAGATCCAAGCAAGCCAGGGGGCAGCATCTGGCCCCTGGGCTTTAGGTTCCCCACCTCTGCTGTAAGCAGTGTTAGATGAAGTAAGATTGAAATCCATAACTTCTGGGGTTGTAGCTAAGCACCTGAACCACTGTCACCATACCTCACTAGAACTACAAAATTGCTACTACTACAACTGGGGTGTGAAAGGTTAGCTGGCTAACCCAGGGATGGGCAATAATTTTTAAAGGGAAGGTCACTTCCAAATTTTTAAAGTGGCCCTGGGCTGCCCCCAAAGGGATGAAGCCAGGACACTTCCGTGATGCCCTGTGGGGCCCATCACAGGCTGGATTTATAAGTAGCCATTTTTCTATAAAGAAATTTCACTAACCAATTATAGAAAGAAACTATAAAACTAGATGTCATCAATAAGCTGAAACCCTGGGCTTGAAAGCAGACATTGACTGGTTGGCGCATTACAAAGCTAATTTCTCCTGCCTTTAACATCTGAATGTTCACATCAGAAGCTATAAATGGGACATACCCAGCCCACTTAATTAGCCTCCTTTAACACAGGTTCTACAATTGACAGGTACTTTTTTGCTATTTATATTCATCTTTTGGTTTCAGTTATTTCCACTCTAAGTCATCCCATGAAGTGGGTTTTACCCACAAAAGCTCGTGAGTCTATATATTTTTGTTAGTCTCTAAGTTTCCACAGGACTACTCAGTTTGTCTAGACTATATCTGTCTTGTTTAGATTGCAAATTATTTGGAATGACTGACTGTATTTGTGTCTTGTACAACACCAAGTATAATACTGGTACTTATTTATACATTATTAAATAACTAGGTAACAGGAATTAAAACTAGATCTTTATTAATAATGTTTTGATAAAATAGGTTTGATTTTTTTAAATGCTTTGATTTTGAGTCCACAAGGAAAATAAAGTATGTTTTTACATTACATATGCTCCTAGCCCTTCATCCCTATCTCTTTTTTAAATAAGTATACTATGATGAGGACACCAAAACTTTACCTTATAAACAACATTTCTCCAAACCTATCTGTAATTTCAACAAACCACCATTAATGGTCACTCATTTTCCCTGTGAGCTATTTTAAAACAGACCAATAATCTAAGAGGACTCTCTTCCTACTGTAAGAAAAGCTTCAGTGAACAGCTACATTATGTAATAAATATGTACTTATCAATATAACTCTATATAGAAAGTGTTGGCTCAAAACAGGTTTTTAGATAATTTATTTTACATAGAGAGTGATGTAAGTATGCATGGCACTTTCAAACAAAGAATACAAGGTTTCTACCATGAAGAGTACACATTCTCAGATCCCAGTTCTACTTTCACATACATACAGAACTTCAACTACAGGCAGTGGGAGGTATATGTATAATTGTTTCACTGAACTCAGAAAAGTGTTTGGTACTTACAAAAGACACAGAAGGCTCATCTGTGCTGCAAAGTTAACTGTCTAAATTTGTATTGTAATTATCTATTTGTTCTAAATAGCCCTCAATAAGAAAAAGGAGAGAGGACAGGGAGGCTAAAAGGAGGACAACAGGTTGCAACAAAATTGTGGAGTTCCTTAGATGGAGTCATGCATCATCTTACTTTTTAAATTGACTTTTTGAAGCTCATTTTTAACAAATAATAATGAACCTATTCACAATAGGATTTGACCCAATTTGGATAGCTAAGGTACACTAAATAGAGCACAAAGCATATGGTTAACAACTGTGTGGAGATCAACATTAGATTAAGCCTCCCTCAGTGAATGGTGTTTTGGTAACTGTCAGTGGGTGAAGTGATACTTCAAACTGAGCTCCTGCTGAGAAGTACCTTGAGGCACAAGAAATGCATCACACTATTGAAGTAAATAAATCAGATTTTCAAAGTTGTAAAAATGACATTTTTATTTCCTGTTGGTGCTTGTTTGGGTTAGGGTGGAGGCTATACATGTTTTCATATAGGCTCAAAGTTTGGAATAAATTAAAATAAGGTAATAAAGGGCAGCTACTTATCCAAACCTATTGAGACTTCTCACTTGACCCTGCATTCATCCCACAAACAAAAAGAAAATTATTTTTCTTTCTGGAGACGGAAGACTGATGTTCTTCTATCCCTCCCAGTGAGTTTGGGGATAGATAAAAATAACTCCTTTTTTATGAAGCATCTTTCTTTTCACAATTCCATCCTTTTCTATAGTAGTTCCAACTCTACTACTACAAAATGGAACTGTGTTGTAACCAAGTTCCCCAATGGGCTGTTCTTTGAGAAATGGTAACTGCCATTAAGAGCTAGACTTTAAGTGACTGGAACAGTTCCAACTGCAAAAGCACTCTTGACCTACAAGGCTTTCATTGTACAAAAAAAAACCCCACTTTTTTGGTAGCAGTCCTTTAGAAATCAAGCTGAAGGAAACATTCAACTATTTTTGTTCAAGCCCCTGATAGTAGAAAGTGTTGGTTTTCATCAGACAGCAAAAAGATGAGATACATCAGTCAACTGGAACTGTAAACCCAGAAGCAAACTGGAAGGAAAAAAGTGATTGTCCCCAAAGAACTTTCCACTTATGACATCAAAATGAGATGACCCTGCTCTGAATATGTACGTTAGACTACAATAACACCATGATCACTCATTTCCTTTTCACAGCAGTGAAATAAATATAATGTTGACAACACTAAAACTTAAAAATAAAGTTAACATTTCATTCAGACAAATGAGGGCTATTCATATTTCTCAGAGCTGTTATTTCAGGCTGCCTGTAGATTTGGTTCACTATCACTGCATTGGTTTACATAGATTTCACATTCTGAAGGTCATCTTTTCAATCATCCATGGGTCCAGATTTAATGCAGCCGAAGGTACTGATGGAGTTTACAAATGTCATTACAGAGCCTTTGACCATTATCTTTGAAAACTCATGGAGATCGGGAGAGGTCCCAAATGACTGGAAAAAGGCAAATGTAGTGCCCCATCTTTAAAAAGGGAAAGAAGGACAATCCAGGGAAATACAGACCAGTCACCTTTACCTCAGTCTCTGGAAAAATCTTGGAGGGGATCCATTTTGAAGCACTTGGAAGACAGGAAAGCGATCAGGAATAGTCAACATGGATTCACCAATGGCAAGTCATGCCTGACCAATCTGATTAGCTTCTATGATGAGGTAACTGGCTCTGTGGACATGGGGAAGTCACTGGATGTTATATACCTTGACTTCAGCAAAAATCTCGTCTCCCACAATATTCTTGCTAGTAAGTTAAGGAAATATGGATTGGATAAATGGACTGTAATGTAGATAGAAAGCTGGCTAAATTGTTGGGCCCAATGCATAGTGGTCAACAGCTCGATGTCTGGTTTGTTGGTCAGTTTCAAGTGGAGTGCCCCAAGGATTGGTTCTAGGGCCGGTTTTGTTCAACATCTTTATTAATGATCTAGATGAGGGGATGGATTGCACCCTCAGCAAGTTTGTGGATGACACGAAGCTATGGGGAGAGGTAGATACGTTGGAGGGCAGGGACAGGGTCAAGAGTGACCTAGACAAATTAGAGGATTGGGCCAAAAGAAATCTGATGAGGTTCAACAAGGACAAGTGCATTTTTACAGGCTGGGTTCCAACTGGCTAAATAGCAGTTCAGCAGAAAAGAACCTGGGGATTCCAGCAGATGAGAAGCTGGATATGAGTCAACAGTGTGCCCTTGTAGCCAGAAAGGCTCATAGCATATTAGGATGCATTGGGAGGAGCATTGCCAGTAGATCTAGCGAAGTTATTATTCCCTTTTATTCAACACTGGTGAGGCCACATCTGGAGAATTGCATCCAATTCTGAGGTCCCCACTACAGAAAGGATGTGGATGCACTGGAGAGGGTCCAACAGAGGGCAACCAAAGGGAGTAGGGGGCTGGAGCACGTGACCTACAAGGAGAGGCTTTGGGACTTGGGCTTATTTAGTCTGCAGAAGGGAAAAGTGAGGGGGGATTTGATAGCAGCCTTCAGCTTCCTGACAAAAGTTTCCAAAGAGGATGGAGAGAGACTGTTCTCAGTATGGATGGATGGCAGAACAAGGAGCAATGGTCTCAAGTTACAGTGGGAGGGCATCTAGGTTAAATATTAGGTAAAACTATTTTAGTAGGAAAGTAGTGAAATACTGGAATGGGTTACCTAGGGAAGTGGTGGAATCTCCATCCCTCAAGGTTTTTAAATCTCTGCTTGACAAAGCCCTGGCTGGGATGATTTAATTGGGATTGGTCCTGATTTGGGCAGGGAGCTGAAATCAATGATCTCTTGAGGTCTCTTCCAGCCATAGGATTCTATGATCATAAAAACAAAAAAAAATTAAATTGTTGTTAATTTTGTTTTAAAGGAAAAGCTTCAAGCCCAAGACGACTGCCACCAGAGAAGACCAGATTGTCAAGTCAGCCCAATGCAACCCTTGTTGAGATCCATGGGTTTTGGTTCTTTTCCTAGCTGACCTTTCACACCTCAGTAAGTATAACCAGCAAAGAGCTACTAATACATTCAATGCTTTTTAAGAGAGATATAATCAGTAGTGTTTTTATTCCATCGCTTATTGAGAATATTTAATTTCCTTCTAAAATTAAACCAGCCTTAATGATCCATCAGGTTTTTTTTTCATTTTATAAGATGTTTCTATTGTAAGTGAAATCCAAGGCTATCCAGATGTTAGTGGCCTCATTTTGCTAGATAATTTAAAGCACCATCAGCACTTTTACCTAGTGGATGAACAGGAGTACATATCTAAATGAGTCAATCAATATAAAAACCTGTTACTAAAATTTTCCATGTGGAAAGTGTGCTAAGATCTACAAACTAGAGAGATTTTGTATTTGCTGAAAAAATACTAAAATTATTTCTGGAAAAAACACAAGCCATTGTTTTAAAAAGTTACTGATATTACTAGGGGGCTATGATCACTACATGCTCCAACCTCTTTCCCCACCATGGCCGATGGGAAATTACCCCACCCTGTCCTGCTCCTCCACCCTCCGCAGCAAGGATATGTCTACGCTATGGTATAAAGTCAAATTAAGATACGCAACTTCAGCTACGTCAGGGGTGGCCAACCTACTAAATGAAGAGAGCCAAAACAGTTGCAGAAAAAATGTGAAGAGCTGCACCAGAATTCTTGAAAGGGGCGGAAGAGGAAGAGCTTCCCACTAGCCAGAGCTGTTAAGAAAAAAAAAACCACGCTGCCCCCTTTAAAAACCATGGGTTAGGCTTTTTGGCCACATCAGGCTCCTGTCAGCCACCACCACCTTGCCGATCCAGTCAGCACATCTGCACCCGGTCAGCACAGAGAGCCAGGAGATGTTTGTTGGGGCACATGGGGTGGCTTCGCAAGCCGCACTTTCAGGGTTGAAGAGCTGCATGCAGCTCATGAGCTGCGGGTTGGCCACCCCAAGTACATTAATTGCGTAGCTGAAGTTGAAGAAGCTTAACTTGGCTTTTGGTGCTATCACAGGAAGAATATTCTTCCTTCAACTTCCCTTACTCCTTGTGAAAGCAGGGTTATCAGCATCAACCAGAGTGTCCCCTCATTTCAAATACTGCTGTCTTAGCTAAACGGCTAATTCAAACCCTGGAAGATCGACAGCAGCAGCTTCAATCTTCCTCTGTAGTGTAGACATACCCTAAAAGGTGCCCCTCCAGCTAGACTCCTCATGAGAGAGGGCACCAACACACACCCCCATGCCCACTATGCGCACCATCCTCCCCCCTCTATGGCTGACAGGAAATTACCCTCATGCTGTTCTACTGCCCAGCTTTTACAGTAAAAGGCACCCTTCAAGCTTAACTCCCCATACGGAATAGTCCTTCTCCATTGAGGGCTCCCCAGAGGCAGGCCCCTTTCCGATCCCCAGATCATTATGAAGGTGCCCTTGACCCCCCTCTGATACCCTCTTCTTCCCCATAGTGTGCCCCTCTGGAAGGAGCCCTATGGGGACTTGGCTCAGGCTCCTCCACAGGGAAGGAGGTAGCACTGCCCTGACCTCGTCCCTGGACCTGCCCTCCCCCAGCCTCCTCTGCAGCTCCCCCTCCCCAGCCCAGCTGGGACACGATTAAGTTATGCTGCTCCCCCTCACCGCCAGTTCCTATACAGCTGCTTCTGGCCCCACTTCTGTTTCCAGATCCAGAATCCAGCCACTCCGTGACCCAGCAGGGAACCACCACCTGCCCCATGTCTCTGGTCTGGTCTAAAGCAGGCGGCAGCAGCAGTTTCCCACTGGGTCACAGAGTGGTGAGGCCCCAGACTCAGAAGTGGGGCCAGAGGTGGATGGATGGAAATGAGGCAGGTCAGCAGAGCTCACTGAGCACCCTGCAACCCTCCCCCACCAAGATGCCACCAAGGAGCCTGGGCAGGAGGGAGCTGGGCTGCAGGAGCTGGAGCCTGGCAGCAGAGCAGGAGCCACTTCCCGCCAGGTTCCCAGAGCACAGCAAGGAGCTGCCAATGCCCCCTGACCCACCTGCAGGGGGAGCCAGGAGCCAATGGGCAATTCCCACCCTCCACTGCACCCATGCCAGCACCAGCTTCGGTCCTGTTGGGGGGTAGGAATCGCCCCAGCCCCGATAGTGAAGGGTTCTCATCCTGCCCTGAGCCATGGATGCTGCTTCCCTTTCTGACTCTGCCGAGGATCAGGGCAGCGTGGGGCAATGTAGAAGACATGATGATATCATTCTGTCATCCCGCAGGAAAAGTGTTTGTATGTGTATATATATAGAAAGAGATTTATCAACCAATATCTCAAGGCATAAAAAACAATAAGCATATAGCCATCATATCTAATTTGAACATATGTATGACAAGCTTGTGTAATATATAGGCTTGGTGCTAGTATGTTTCATACCATTGATCTACTCTAAAAATAAATGTATCAATATACAAAAGTGTGAAAAGGGTGGTCCCTTGTCCATTAATTATAGTAAGTCTAGCTCCTAGCCTTTCTCGTCTGTAAGCTTGAAATATTGATTTAAAATGTGATGACACTACAGAAGAAAAATCAAATATATGCCAAGTCATTTTTAAAATTAATCTGAAAATTACGTGATCCAACTGAGTTCACCTTCATACTTCACTATTTTTAGTAGAAAGCCTCAACTCCTCACAACAATTGGTAGATTATTTTACAACCACTCTATTCCATCTCAACTGCTTTGAAATAATTTACATGTATTAGCAAAGAACACATGGAGACGCTTCATGCTTTTATAACTACTATTTATGGCTTGTGAGGTGAACAAAATAGAGATCTTCAGAAAAAGAAAAAAAACCCTTCACACAAGACAGGGAAAAAAGTGTCCTTCATAAAACAACAGGCAGTAGCCTGAAAGAGAAATTCTCTCCTGGCAGTGTTGAAATTAGACAATTTAATAAAGACACAGTGAAGTGTTAATATAGTATATATTTACATTCACCAACTTCCAAGAAGAACTCTAGCTTTATCTACATTAGATATTTTTTTTTTGGTCTAAGCAGCTTGAAGTAGAAATTATGAAATATAATATGTAGTTCTTTTCATAATATGTATTACTGGGAGGACTAGATAAAAGGACTGTCCCAATCTCATATCTAGTTAAATTTGAGATTTAATTTATTCAGTCAATAATTCATCAGTGGATAAAAAAATGCACAAAAGTACAGGATTTATACTAACTCAAAGAGCACGTAATTATAGTGGCAAATAAACTAGGAATAAGGCCCAAAACCCACCGTCTGCTACTTACCCATTTAGGAAACGTGAATTTGATTGATGAACGATGATTTTATCCTTTAAAAGCAATTTGCTTTATCATCATGATTATCTTCCTGAGTTATTTATAACTAGCAAGAAAATGAAAAATTGTGAGTTACAACAATATATGTACCTGGTGTAGGTGGCAGCAGCAGCCTGGAGCCCTGGGCCCTTTTGAATTGCTGGGTCCTGCGGTAATTGTTCCCTTTGCTCCTCCCCTCCTGTTGGCAGGCCTCATGACCATGACTAAGATTTTGAGGGAGTGGAAAAATACATTTTGGGCCAATACACAATAGCAAAGCTCTATTCTTTAAAAGTATTCCCATAGAAAGAGAGGACAGTATTTCACTTCACAAAGTAAATCTTATTTCATAATGTGACTTAGGGCTTCTCTACACATGGAGTTACTCTGAAATGCCTATTCCAGAAGAACTGCATGCAGGGACATGCTGAACCCAGAATTAAAATGCCTTTTTCCAAGTTAGCTTAATCCCAGTTTGGAAGTGGACTAAGCAAAATCAAATGATGTCACTCTTATTCTAAAAGAAGAATGTCCACATATAATTATTCCAGAACAGCTATTTACAGCCAAGATGATTCTTTAATAATTTTCAGATGTAGACAAGCCCTTAGCCTGTCTATATTAATTTGCACCCTTATAACTAAACCCTTAGGCCAGGTCTACACTAGACCTGGAAGGTCGTCTTAAGGTACACAACTCCAGCTATGTACAATATGTAGCTAAGTCATCTTACCTTAAGCCAAGCTTGGCTGCATCCGCACAAAGGGAGGTCAATGGGAGCAAATGCTCCTGTCGGCTTCCCTCAGTCCTTGCAACTATGAGGAGGAGAACAGGTACCAACTGGAGCTGCCCTCAGCATTCAATTTACTGGTATATACTAGACCTGCTAAATCTAATGCCAGAACGTCAATCTCCAGTGCAGGGAGTGATGATGTGCCCTTAATAGAGTAAACCCTTAAACAGAAGTACTACTACACCGATAGGGTTTATCTTGGAGCAGTTCATTGGATTAAATTGAACAAGTGACAGCACCTATTTACATCATATGGCTCATTTACATTCTGGTTTGTAATAGTGTAGATATATTACATATTGGTGCAAGTTTCTCAAATGTAGTCAGGACCTAAATAAATATGGCAGCCTCTTAATGTATGGCTCCACTGCAACAGGGAGCACACCTCCCACCCAGCCAGCCAGACACATGCTACTTCTGCTTGAGCTAATGCATTAAAAATTGCTGACCTGAGCAGAGCTAGTCAGAGCCTTTCTATCCATGCTGGGAGGCATGCTTCCCACAGCTGCACTGTAGACTAACCTTACTCAATAGATCCACTCCCCTGCACATCTCCTTTATGGGCTAAAATACATTTTAAAAATCACTTTTGACTCATGTCAGGATTGCTGATCCATGGATCATTAACAGCATTGATACTTGTGTTCAGATTACAGAATTTTTATTGTTGTTTATGTATGAGTCAAGAAGGCAGCCTGGCTTTCAGTTTCCAGACTGTTTGCAAGACTGGCAGGTAGATAAACAGCTTTTCCACTTGTGAACACAAGGACACCCCAAAAAGGTTGATTTTTTTTCTTTTATAAAAAAGCCATTATTTGCTTAGCAATATCACAAAATGTCAAACTTGATTTTGTTGTGGGAACTCAAGGATATTTATTAAGAGCACCAACCGGTACACCCTGGTCCAGTTCTGCTCTCTGGTTAGATACCAATCTGTTGTGACTGAAACCAATCATTGCATTCCACCTGATTCTAAGTCCCTTAGGTCTGGGTAGTCAGTGATCTCTGCTCCTAGCCCTGGTCTCTCAAAACCAGTCCACAGCCTGCTTGAGTTGCTTAGATTTATCCATCTTGTCCTCAGAGTCCACACCTGCGTGTCAGAGCTCTGGTTTCCTAGTTATAACCTCAGGGACAAAGAGGCAGTAAAGCAAAGATATTTCTTATCCATAAACACCAAACTCAAAGTCCAAAAGAGTTACAGATTTATGTAAAACAAACACCTAAGTACAATCATCTGATCATATTTCAGCAGACTTGAGTGTCCTGGATTCGGTCCGAGTCCTTAGACTAGGCAGTCCCTCCAGCCTTGTTGGCCTGGTAACCTTGATTCTGGAAGTGGAATGGCATCCCTTCTTTAGAAAAGCACTCTTTCAAAAACAATTTTGTCATCTGTTTCTCCACGTGCTACCAAACGTGGGGGAGATCCAGGCTCTCTACCCAAGAGTCCCACTCGCCACTCCTCTCCTATCAGCTTCACAGTCAATGTCCCCACTGATAGAAAACCCATTGTTCCAGTAGGAAAGAGTCCTTCAATGTTGCTTGTCCTTGATTAGTCAGAAAAAGCTTCTCAGATATAGTCCATCACCTGGGTCTCAAGCTTTTGCTACCCCACCCAAAAAAGCTTTAATCTACATCGAAGGTTACACTAAAAATGAATTGATCATTAGGATTCATGTTTCTCAAATCTGGAATTAGTTTTCTCATTACATTTTGTTCCAATTAGTTTGGTAATATTGATAGGACAGGCAGACAAAAATAATATTTTAAGTAGCTTGGAAGAACCGTTGTCTAATTTAACAAAACACTGTCTTTTTGTTAGGACTCCACGTTCCTATCCCCACCACTTTTCCCTCTTCACTGTCTCCACCTCTGTCTCGTGCCAGGGCCAACTAAACTTCCAGCCAAGTAAAGCATGATTAAGCTTGCTTCCCATCCTATTCATGCCTCTGGAGTCACAAGAGTTAGCAGAATGTGATACATTAGGAGTGAAAAGCTTTTTGTACAAATCTGCTACTATACTCTCAGGCCCAGACTGAGTTACATTTCCAGACTTAGACTTCCCATATACATAAGGGGAGCTATCACTAGACCAACAAGCAAGTAGAATTTTAAAATATAATTATGTTCTGGTGGTGGTTAGTCTAAAATGTAGACAAGGCACTTTTGTATTCTATTTTAAAACATTTTACTGTAGTTGGAAACTTTAAAGTGGTTCCTTACACACTTAATTTTTCATAAATTATGATTTCCACATTGTGAAACTAGTAGCAATTACAAAATCTTATTGAACTAAATTAATTTTTGTACATTTTCACTATACAAATAATATGAATTCACAACATTCCTAATATACATTCACAACATGCCTTTACTGCCATCATTGCCATGCACTCTAAATAGCAGCAAGAAAAATTTAAAAATAGGCTGAAGAAAAAAATTCTCAATATTCCATCCCTTTTGTAGCTAATCTCATTACCACTGAACTGCTTTTTCACCACATCCTTGAATCATTCCCCTCGTTTAACAACAAATCTAGCTCTTTGGAACATGCAATTTGGCAGCCTTTTCTGGCAATCTGTTCCATATGTTTACTACAAATTGTGTAATAGTGCTTTGCTTGAGCGGTGTGTATTTCTGGACTTAAATTCTGCCCTCTAAATCAGCAAAGTCAGTGGGATACAGTCACAGTCACTAAAGATTTCAATTTTTAACTTGATTTCAGGTGGTTTTGTTTAAAATTATACTAAGACCCTTCAAGAAGGCTTTGGAGATATACAGTGTCTCCGCTCAATATAAAACACTGTGGCATTGTTATGGGTGTGCGAAAAAGCAAATCAGAAGTCACAGCATATTGTAAGAAGGCTTGAGATTATAGTTAATGTGTACCATTCAGTACCACAGCACAGCAGGTTATGCTAAAGATTGAATCAAAGTCTCAATCATGGCCTTGTTACCTTGTTATAACTATTTTAACATTGTTTTCTTTGCTTAATAGTGACATTTATTTCAAATCCTCAGCTATTCCAGTATTTCAGCTGCTAGGGAATGATAGGGAAGCTGAATTAAATTTTCATTAGTGGCTTAATCTAAAAGCAACATAAATGATTCTGATCTACTGCATATTTTTCTTCTTAGGCTTAAAGTTCGTCTACATAAATCCTATTCCTTTTCATAACAATGGATAATCAGAGCAATAACTGCCATCTGCTGGGAGATCTGGGAGTTGTTTCTGACTCAGATTGCTTTAGTTTTTGTTTGTTCGGGTTGTTGGGTTTCGGGGGGGGGGGGTTGGGGGGGAAATATCTAATGGGACTAGTTAAGCTTAGATGATGACTTTGGCCCAGGGAATAAACATTTATAGGAAACAAATTCTTCTCAACTCCAGATACAATACAGAGGCAAAAGAATGGATCTCAGAGCAAGTGAGCCGCCACAAAAAAAGAGATACAAGTTGGTCAGTTCTATTCTGTAAGTGGACAAAAGGGGAGAGGAGGAAAATAGTTTTTGGAATCTATGACTTTGCCCCTCTTTTTTGGCATTAACTTAGAATTTTGGAAATTAACTTTTGTACTCCTGAAAGAAACAGTATCACAATACTACTAGGCAGAAGCACCCTTAGCCTCAGTTAAGATTTGTCTACATTAGAAAACATTATTGTGTTTACAGAACACAGATTATCTGACATGAAGCTAAACACAATTTGTTCTGGTCTAAATGGACTGAAAAAGATTATTGTGTTTGTTAATTTGAATTCTCAGTGCTGTTTAAACACAACATTTTCTAATGTGGACAAGTCCTTAGCATCCAAAAATGGGGCTTAACCCATAGGTAGCCACAGCCTAAATATTGTATGTTCACTAAGGATCAACAGGTGGCATGAGGATTCAGTGTTACAATTTAAGCTGCAGGTTACTCTTAACGATATAGTCTTCGCTAATACAAAGTGGAAAGATTCAGAGAGGTTTTTTGCACTAATATACTTAAAACATATTTTATAGAAACAATAAAAACAGTAGCATCTATCAAATGTTGAAAAATGCTTTAACTTGAGTAGATAAAGAAGTGTTACTAGATGGCATACAAGAGTTATTTGCTCAAGGCTACAGTAACTGCTTTGTTTTCCAAGATACAATAAAATATAATCTGGAATCATCAAGATGTTTGTGCACCAAAGCAAAACTATGGTTTTATTGTTAACACTTGTTCTACTTTTGCCCACAGCTGTCTGTTGCAACAACTCACATCCTGTTTCAATCAACACAGATCATAAATTTTTCAAGAAGAGGATGTATTGTATAAGTTTTTGAAGCATAATGTATCTTTATGGGGCTACAGAAGCACACCACAGACTGTTTCAATGGAAATAAGCATTCTTTTCATTTTGTTGTCATAGTCCAAAGCCAATATGAAAACACACTGTTCTAGATTTTTCATTTTCTCTACAGAAGTACTATTATGCACAGAGAAATTTAAAACAATTTAAAATTGGAAATTTAAAATTTCCAGAGAAATTTAAAACAATTCTAATCCATATGTGCATGCACATAATATGAATTAATGTTGCCAGCCTGGATAGTCCAACTACAGCCAAACCATAAAAGGGAAGGAAATTAGCAGTTTAATTATTCCCCTTACTACATCTGAACTTCAGCATCCATTTCCCACCTCCGCCATGTTCTCTCTACCACTCATGGCTACATAATTATATATATTTTGATGTTTAATATAATGTGGTTGTAACCCTCAGAATTACCCCATACATGACGTCATGCATCTGACAAAGTAGTCTGACCCACAAAAGCTCATGCCCAAATAAATCTTTAAGGTGTCACGGGATTTCTCATTATCACGACCAAGGTATGTAATTTCATACTAATGGAAGTCAGATCATGGTAATAAGATTATATAGTGTGGCCATTAAATAAGTTTTTCTGTAACATTCAGGAAAAAAAATGTGACAAGGATGATCTACAGCTCTTCAAGCACACCAAGCAAGAACCATATCCCCAGGCAACTGCATTATTTTAAAACTGTGGTGTGTGAATCACAGTTGGTTTATAGAGCTTCTGCTGTCACAACAGTGACTCAGCCCTGGACCAGCTTTATCTAGAGCAGGTCAAAACTGTATTTTGAATAGAAAAATGTTTGGACATTTTTACCTTGTGAGAAAGTGTCAATTTTCATGACATTTCAATTTGAAAGAGTCCAAGTGTTTAATTTCAACTTTATCAATTTCACTCATTTTGTTTTGACTTATACTATAATATTAAAAGTAATATTTCATCAACATGAACTGTTTTTATGGTTCCAACATTTTTTGGAAATTTCAGCTTTTCAGTTCAATTTAGAGTCAAACAAGCCTTCAAAATGTTGGAAGTTCCTGAAAAACAGAAATTGCATATTCTGACCAGCTCCAGTTTCATTGTAAACCAGCTGCTAATGGTCTTGGGTTACGTCCTTAGAAAGAGGGTTTATATCACTTGTGAATTATAATCCTACTTGATGCAACTGCAGGTATTCTTTTTACTCATATAAATATATAATCCTTTTTTTAAATCCCACTAAGCCTCAGTAATAAGCCAATTGAGAAAGTGCTTAGCTGGATAATCTGGATCTAGATTTCTTGCACCTGATAAATGAACCATAACGCCAAACCAACAAACCACTTTGTTACATGAGCACTTCACACTATGTTAAGAAAACAGCAGCAATAATTCGCCAACAAAGGAACAGAGCACTTGCTTTCATTCAAGAGCTTCCCTGGGATTTGAACCTGCAGGAGCAAGAAAAACATTTTACTAAAATAAGCTGCATTCTAAAATTCAGTGGGGAATTTCTTCTATGATACATTATGGCAAGCGAACAGGAACACTCAAAACTTAAAAGGGGGGAGGGGGAAAGCTTGCTGTGAAACACCTCATAAAATAATCACCAGGACAAGAAATGTCTGCTACAGATTCCTTATGACAGAATGCATCAAGTAAAGAGGGATAGTTGTTTTATAGACATTCAAAATCTCCTGGGTTCCCCAAATTCATAGAACTAAATCATCCTGTGTTGCTACCATGTTTTTGTAGCATGGACCACTTTTTAAAGGCAACAAATGGAGTGCAGGGCAGCTGTGCTCCTCTTTTTTTATATTGTATATATATGATGGAGAAGGTCTATTCTCATTGTGTTCTTGTTTGTTTGCTTTCTTGTTTTGTTTTGGAAACTCTGCTCTATGCAGAATACTGGTAACAACAGTGATATTTTTAATTTCCTACATGTACCACCTTTTTAAGATCGCAAAGTGCTTTGCAGGGATAATAATAATCCAGATTTTGAAGATGGAGAAAATGTATCAGAAAAGTGAGGTGTCTTGTTTAGAACCACAAATAGGTATATAAAATCCCATTGATTCAGTTAAATGAGTGGGTGGGCTTATTGGTTAACAATTCACATCTCTAGTCATGAATGAAATCTAGACCTCCTAAATTCACCCTCCTCAAGTCACACAACAGTTTGTGTGTCTTCTCTTAGCACTCAGATTTGCATTCTTGATTTAATTAGACACATGGAAATTAAGTTTTCTATCTACCCAAGTTGAAAAGTTCATCCTGTTCTAGTTTTTCATAGAATAACAAAACCTTAAAGTTTAGCACCTGGAATCCATTACAAGTCTAGTACAAATCTTTATTCAGGAGATTTGAGAATCATTGTAAGTTTTAATGTTAGCTTTTCAAGCACAGCATATACTCAGATTGTAAATGCCATCAATAACATCAGATTATATTCAGTTTACTGTAAGTACATCTTAATATTTTATTCACGTTCATTAAACAACATTCAATTCAGCCTATAAAGCCTTACTCAGAAGCTCTGTATTTTGCAAACCTACAGAAGCAGAAAATAGATAATTCAAAAAGCTTAAGAGAAAAGATCTCAACTACAGTATAAGCCAGGGGTCCCCAAACTACGGCCCGCGGGCCGGATGCGGCCCGCGAGGCCCTCTCATCCAGCCCGTGGAGACCTTTTTGTCTACGGAAAAAAAATTACGGAAATTTACGTGTATCCTGCCAAGATCAGCCGCCGCTTACGTGGCACAAATCTAAAGCCAGAAATGTCTGCTATTTTGGCATCCAGGAAACAATTTCACCATTCACACTAATACAGGTGTTCATGTGTAGTGTATGAATGTGTTATTAAATAATAACTGAATAAAATAATATTAAATAAATAATTAAAACAACATCCATGTTTTGATTGTTTTTTATTTGGACCTCAAGTGTGTAGTCGGCCCCCGAACTGCTGTTTGATAGTTAATGCGGCCCTCGGGCTGAAAAGTTTGGAGACCCCTGGTATAAGCCACAGAAGAGGATTACTCAAAAGAAGATTCCCAAATTAAAACTGAATAATTTCAAAATTTGTATCCCTATAAAATAGATTGAGCTATGCTATGCCTAACATAAAAATCAAGGATTTTTATCATGCCTGTCCTGAATTAACACATTCCATCCAAAAACAGAAACGCACAGTTCTCTAATGAAGTAATTTTAAAACCAGACAAGTAGATTGTTCTGTACTTCTCGAAGTCACGTGATATAGGTGGGAGGAAGGGGAAGACAGCTTACCTTTGAGGTCTGTGAAGCCTCTCACTGAGGATTCTTCACACATTTCTAATCAAATATCCTAATAAAATAAAATCTCAACTTTTGTATATTTGAAAATTTCCATGATTTTAATTTTCCAAAGTTTGCTTTGAAAATATAATCACTGGGAACTATACATGAGTCTTTCTGAAGATCACATAATTACTGTCTAATTGCCAACCAAAGCTCAATTTAGGGGCCTATGAAAATTACTATTAAAATTATGACCAATAAGTCCTAAGATTTCTGGGAGAATTACAGATCAAAGCATTACAATAGGTAGCTGTGCTGCTGCAAACTCCCTCCTGGCTAGGTGCTGACAGCTTGGCCAGCTCTTCTGTGGTATGGCTCAGGCTGAAAAGTCAGCATAGTCTAGTAGACTAAGCACATGGTTGAGGACATATAACTACTACAGTATAGTTTTGGTTCTGACACAAATTCCCTCAATGGTGTTGGCCAAATCATTTCACCTTTGCCTTCCCTATCCCATCTATAAAATGGGGATTATAAACAAAAAGTTGTGCCACTAAACTCTGTAGAGTTTCAGGCTCAACTCCCTACTTAATTTAACCAAAATAGACCCAAGAATTTATAGTAACTCCACTGCCACATATTCCACTCCATTCTTACATAAAAATAATTATTTTCCCTGAAAGGATAGAGGAAGTGTCCTTTTAGAAATTTAGGTCTTCCTGATGGACAGAGGAGGCTTGAAATGTTTGTTGCAAAACAATTAATATTTTATGCTTACTTTTGCTGTAGAAATATGAAGATCACCATAGCTGGGACATTCACTTGTTTTGCAGAGGACTTCTAGGCGTCTTAAATGTGGGAATAGATTTCCAAAGGAACCAATTGCAATTAGGCACGTCTCTGTTGCTGAAAATCAAAAGTGCATAATTGCCATGTATGTTTTTAAAAATCTCCCCCATGAGTTTTCTTGTCCTTAACTGAAGAAGTAGCTGCTTTGAATATTTAGTAGAAACAGAACCTCATACTCCAATGGTTTATCCCCACCACAGAAGTGTCTTGATCACACCTGGTGTTTCTCAGGCATTTGAATTAAATAGATTTTATAAAACATATGCTCCCCACAAACAAAAAAAGGTTTAAAACAATATGAACAAAGCTCATTCCCCTCTCTCTTCATCACGTTTCTCTCTAAGCATACTCTAGCTCTCCAGTTATCAATTGTATTGTCTGGGAAAGCAACATAGAACCTGAATTTTTAATGTAAGAAACAAGTAGGAATAAATCTTTTGCCTGAAGGTGGGCTATGGTAAACAAAACGTCTCATGGGCCACAAACAGAATCCTGATGGGCCACATGTGGCTCATGGGTCACAGGTTGCACACCCCTGTGCACTCTTTTTTCTTTGTTCTATAGATTGCAGCACTTGGAGTATTTGAATGAATGCACCAAGGCGTTTAAAACTATTTAATGCAACCAAAGCCCTCACACAGCTTGTCTTCTTTGGAGCTAGCTACAGAACACACTACAATGAAGGCATCTTTCATAGTCATTTTCCAATTCCCCGGTTCCTCTTTAGCCCCACCCATATGCAACCCAGCTATTACAGGTGAGGAGAAAACCCTTATATTCAAACACAGAAACAGTGAAAACAAACTAAGAAACAAAGACAAAGTCACAAAATCCATGAAATACAGAACAAAACAGCCACATATTTTTTCTGCCATATACAGGCAGTCCCCGGGTTACATGGATACGACTTACATCGGATCCCTACTTACAAACGGGGTGAGGCAACCCCACACTAGCTGCTTCCCCCCAGCAGACTAGGGAGACGCGGAGCGGCTTTTCTCAGCAGACACCTCAGCTTGAGAATAAAGGACTGAGGGAAGTGAGGTGTGGGAGAATAAAACTGAGCCCTGGAGATTCCCTACAAATTCAACTTAAGAACAAACCTACAGTCCCTAACTTGTACGTAACCCGGAGACTGCCTGTATACACAATTCATATAACTTCCATTCCTCTAGTAAATCATCCTTAGTCACAGTAAAGGTAATACATTCCATTACCTTGTTCTGAGAGTGAGTTAAAACTAGGAATGTACTGAGCTCCAGTAAACCTATCCAGGACAGGCCCTCAAAAAACAAGAATCCCAGAAAACTGGGTCACCCAAAAATATCTGCCTCTTTCCTCTCATTTCCTTTTCCAAACTTTCCCCTTCCTACTGTCTCTATAATCTAATCAGACAGTTTCCCCAAGAATGCCTGCTCTTCTGGTCATACTCAGTTATCCTCTCCCTGAGACCAGCCTCAGTTCTGCCCTAGGAGTCTGTAAACATAGCCCTAGCATGTTATGAGACAGGATCAGACAGGGGGAAGGGATGAACCCGGGCAAAACAAGGCCTGCAGCCCGGCAGGAGGCTTTGGGCAGGCTCTTCACCTGCCCTGCCCATCGCTCAAAGAGCCAGCAGTGGGACTAGATGTTCTCTGGGCACCGCACACCCAAAGGGGGAAGGCTTTGTGCACTGTCCCTGTCCCCAGAAAAACCTCGCCGCTTCCATTGGCAGTTAAACTGGCAAATGGGAGCTGCCTGGGCAGCATCCACAGTGGATAGAAGATCCATTCCCCCTCAAAGGGCACACGGAGAGCACATGGGACCCTGCAGCTGGCCGCTTTGAGCAGCATGCAGTGCACAGCAAGCAGTCTGCCTGCCTGAGGGACTAGCTGGTCTGCTGGCAGGGAGCCACCAAAGGTAAGTGCCTCTTGTCCAGAGCCTGCACCTGGCACTCCACCCCTTCCATATTCCCAACCCTCTGCCCCCCTCCCAGGTCAGAACACCAAGTCCTCTGAACCCCTACTCCTGCACTTCAAACCCCTGGTCCAGGTCACAACCCCCTCCTACCTTAGATCCCAACCCAAACCCTGAACCGCACTGCATCTTTGGTCCAGGTCACAACCTCTGCTCAAACCCTGTACCCCCAAGTCAGAGTCCTCTTCTGCACCCATACCGCCTCGTGGGCTCCAATGCCCTGCCCCTGGTCACAATCCCCTCCATCATTCAACCTCCATCCCAGACCCTGCACACCCCTTCATTAATACCATGGAAGTGTGTGGCCCTTGACCATTTACCAAATTCTTGGGGTACCACCCCACCATCAAAATTATTGCCCTGACCTACAAAGCTCCTTTGTCTTTCTACTGAGGGGCAAAACTGGAGCAAGCTTACCCCATGCAGCACAGACCAAAAGACTGTCTACAAGTTCCCAGAGTGAAGATTAGCCTTGGGAGCAGACAGAGCTAATGTAACCCCCAATTTGTGAAGTTTGGTTTTAAGCATATTGTTTCATTGCCCATGTACACCCCTACTCTGCAATTTCGCCACTCTTTAAAATATTGCTGAAGATAAAGCTGGCATACAGCCAGAATGCTTAATATTTAGCTTGATTCTCAGTGCCCCTTGATATGCTCTCCTTATTGCCCTGGTGTCTGCTCATAATTAGTGACTAGGCAATCTACCTTGATTAAAACCTTTCCTCCCTTGCTTTCACAGATATTGTGGAGCACACAGCAAAAACAGCCTTAACACCAGAAATGTTGCTTTCGCTGAGGTCTAACCTCGTGAAACTACAAAACCTTCCTTTTAAACATCCAAAAGCACATTATACACAGTTCTGCACTTGCTCAAGCTGTAGTTGAATGGCTCCTTACTGCTGTCCAGGATGCCTGTATGCAGCTTCTAAACAATAGCTGTCTGGCATTGTAAGCTTTTACAGGAGATACGAGTAGCAATAGCCAACTGTCAGAGGAGGTCTCATTATGATATTGCTGAAGTGCAGGGTGGGGGAAAGCAATTCACAAAAAGTGGAAGTGATCTTACACATTCAAAAGTTTTGCAGCCACTGTTCACAGTCCCACCAGTCTGTGCTTCTCTCATGGGACCAGAACCAGCATTCCACTGTGTCAACTGGATTGACTGCCACCAGCATACACTAATTGCACCACTCAAAGGTTCATACATATGTGTTTGTGGCCTCCTCACACTCTTCCTCACTCCAGCAGCTCATAGCTAGGCTCTGGATATACCGCAGCATAATGCGCAAAGCCACAGCACTTTGAAGCTGAGCAGGATTCCTGGTTACAGTGATATGGTGTTTGCACAGATAATCAGGAAAAAAAGGTACAAAAATGATTTACTGTTGCTTTCAAGCAGGAGGGGAAGGAGAGGAGTGCGTTATGGAAGGCTGATGACACATACCCAAAAGCAGCCACTGCAGTGTTTTTGTCCCATCAGGCACTGGGGTTACCCAAAATGCAAAGAGGAGGAAGAAACTGTGGGATAAGCTACTCACAGCACATAGCTATTGAAGGTAGCCACGCTACAGGGGACTCACTGTCGACCTCATGCGCATAGTGAGGACATGCACTTTCAACTTTACAAAATCGGGTGCTAAAAAAAAAAATCAATCTTAATAAATTCAACCTCATCTCATAATGTAGATGTGGTCTATGGCACTTAAATATAGTGAACAGCATAGTATAAATACCCAGATGAACACAGACACTAAGTCAGTTTTGCCCCTTGTACTCCATATGGAAATCAAGCATAAGGTTTCAAAGGCCCATGGTGAGCATCAGGTGCTGAACTACCATAATGAAGTAGTATAAACACCTTGATAGATCATTCCTAGTATTGCAAAGTGTAAGTAAAGCTAAAAGCAATAGTTACAAAGAGGACATAAATCATGAGCACATACTGATATGGTTTCTCTTTTCTCTTTTTTTAAATACATAGTTAATAAAATAGCACAGTTTTGTGAATACTTATCTCTAACTTACTACATAACAGGGCAAATACATTTAACATTATCAGAAAACAAATCAAGGACAGCATTTACACATTAACAGCTCAGTCCCCAAAAAGAATTTATATTAAAAGACTAGTCTAACAAGAGTCCACAGGTTAAAAACCCCAGAGGGCCATTTAGGAAACTATAAGGTAAATGGTTTTTGTCATTGATTTATTCCACTAATTTATCCAGATAAATACAACCAGCTTCAGACAACTGAGAAAATCCTGTCAGTGTACAGCCCAACACCACTGAAGTTCACTTTTAGAACTACAGCATTTTAAAAAAATAGCAGCTGATTGGGTCCACATCTGCCACATGTATTTTGTGACAAATATACCAGAAGCTGAAGTTAACAAGAATCCAAAATTATTTCATTTTATCAGATTGATTTTGATTTCTTTGGATTAATCCCTTCATCTTCTTCAGTCATCTTTGCTGCAGGCCTCCTCTTCAACCCTTTCATCTTCCTGGTTTGTAATTTACTGAGGTCCTGTTTCTGCATGTGGATCCGACCATACGACGTACCGAAGACATCATGGGAGATATTCTTCTTCTTCTTTGGCTGTAAGATAATGACAGAGTTAATGTTTCTCTGCACAGAATATCATTAGAGGACTATAAGGCAAGCATATCTGTCATCACAAGTCAAGATATTCACTAGAAATCAAATTACCACTGCAATTTAAGGTAACTACACACAAAAATGGAATTGCACAGATAAAATCCAGGGCTTAGAGACTTATTTTCCTGTCCTTATATGGCACCAGATCAGTTTATCATCTTCTCTTACCTGTGCTTCCTGCTACAGAGCATGCAATGACGTAAGTTAAGTTAACAAAAAGACCTGAACATTGCAAAAATAGTGTGCAATAATAGAAGTTTACTTACTGTAACTGCAAACTCCAAGAGAAATGGTTCCCTATTTTTATTCTAAGCACGAGGTGCACATGTGCACCTTGTACTGGAAACAGAACAGTTGAGAGCAGTGTCCACTGGCCCATGCACATCATGCAATGACCACATGATGCATCCAAGACTTTTAAGAAGCTGCACAGATTGACGCTGTACTAGTTACCTCTTATCAAGTAGAGGGGATGGAAGGCAGGATTAGAATCCAGATAGGAACCACAAATCTCAAGAAACCTCCAGTTACAGTAACTTACCTTTTCTTCAAGTGATTGTCCCTATGTGGATTCCAAGCTTGTGAATATAGCAAGCACTAGTCAGGAAGGAGGTGGGCTCTTGTGAGGACCAAACATGCTAGACAGCATGATGGACAGCAGCATCCATCAGGATGGAGGCAACAGTTCCACAAAAAGATGGCTTCCGCCCAAAGAGAGGGGAATCATGTACCATCCTGCTTATGTATAGGATCGCCATTCTGTTGTTGAGATTACCTGGATGTTGAGGGAGTCTAGAAGGGCTTCGCAGGCCAGACATCCTTTGCTTAAGGATGCTGATGTGCATGTGCATTCACGCTTCTCATGTGGAACAGGGATCCTGAGTCGAGTGGTTGTCAAGGTGACGTGCCAGCCTGCTAAGGATATGTCTTAAATGAGGGCAGGGCTGGTGTGGGGGGTATGAATGACATGCCCACTAGGACTGTGAAGAGACTGCATCACCATGAGAGAGAAGTCAAGATGCTGGCAGGAAGGACTGGTAGCTTGGTTGGATAATCTACCTGTAGACTCTGCGGAGCTATTGTTGGAAGCTTCCCAGATGGAGATGGGCATGGGGTATAACAGCAGTGCCAGCACCACATATCCAAGAAGGAAAAGGCATTAGCAGGCATATGTGCATGAATGACATCTGAGTGTGGTTAAAAAAAAGCAGTGCAGCAGTCCCTGGGCAGAAAGTCTCTGGCTACCATGGAATCTAAATGGGCTCTTATAATGGTAAGTGTGTGGGTAGAGACAAAGATGGATTTTTCTTCTTTGATGCGTTCTCCTAGTCTTGAAGCAGGGTATGTAGGGTGCATATAGTGGTCAGGAACACCCAGTTGGCACATATAGGCTGCCACAACCGCAAAGACCCTGGTATAAATACATGGAGGGCAGTGACGATCCCAAAGGAAAGAACATGGAACTGATAATAGGCTTTGCCTGTGATAAAACAAAGGAATTTGCAACAAGCAGGGTGTATGTCTACATGAAGGTATGCATCTCATATGCATCCCTTGGGCCACCAACCAGGCTCCATGGAGAAAGAGAAAGAATAATAAGGGAAAGGGCGACCATTGGAAGTGAAAGGCGCAGACATCCAAATTAGAGTGTATCCCTTTCGCCCCGTTCAGAATAAGGAAACGGGGAGTAGAAACTACAGCGGCTGTGTGGCACAGGTTCTATGGCAGCCTCGTGGATGATGACAGGGCTGGAGAGAGAAGCCTCCAAATAGGAAAGATGCAATGAATAACGTAACTAGCTACAGATGAAAAATGGACACCTACCTACTTAAGTAGATTAAAAAAACTATATACAGTGAAAAAAGGATCACAGCACTTTTTGGTGGCTCAGAGCACAGAGGGGCTGGTTATAGGCCGGTAAGAGGGAACTGAGGGAGTGATGTCAACACACACAGCTTTTTAAAGCCTCAGACCCACTGTTTGGTCAGCGCATGACACACATGGGTCAATAGTTCTTGCTCCCGGCACATGAAATCCACATTAGGGATGTTAAACATCGGTTAATTGAATAGTCGATAAACCTCATGAATTCTTACAGGTTGGCTGACTAGACTATAGTCCCTGCAGGTGGAGTACCAGCCAGGAGCTTGTCCACGAGGGGAGCCAGTTTAAAAACCTACTCCCCTCACAGATCAACTGCCTGTTGCTCTGTGGTGGCAGCAGCCCCTGTCCAGGGGGGTGGTCTAAGCTCCCAAACCCACTGCAAGCTGCCCGCCCAGTTCCTAATACACTTTAAATGCAGAGCCATAGCAGGGGTAGGTCCCAGACCTGGCAGAAGTCAGAACTGAGCCAAGCTGCTGAGCAACCTGCTAAAAATTTACTGGAGGGGCAGGGGGTGGAATGTGTGTAGTCTATAGCATTAACCTATAAGCTTTTGCTTATCAGTTAATCGACTACACCAGCAGTTCTCAAACTTTTGGGGCTCCCTGGAGATGACTCGCGGAGACCTGGGGCTCCGCAGAGCACAGTTTGAGAAACATTGGACTACACTATTACATCCCTAATCCACATAGGAACCAGCATTAGAAGAACACACACCAGAGCTATCCTGGACATAGGACAGTTTGGGGTGGTACCCTGGGCCCCGTGCTTCTGGAGGACATGGGGCTTAGGCAATGCAGGGATGGGTGGCAGTGTGACCAGTCCTGCTCCACCTCAGGGTGAAATGAGGGACGTAGGTGTTTTGGGGATAGTGGCAGAGCGACCAGCTAGCTGGCTCCCTGTTTTGTTCAGGACAGGAGCGGGTGGGGACTTGGGAGAAGGAACAGAATGGTGTCAGAGGGTCAGGGGAGGAAGAACTGTCCCAGGTCCCACACCCTCCTCCCCCAGGATAATCCTAACACCTTCATTCCGTGGCCTTTTGCATGGTTTATTTCAAAACTGACTCTGTATTAAAAGACAATGTATGATGCAGAGCAAAGATTTGTGTGTAAAATACAAGGTTTGCATACCTTGAGGGCTTTAGGTTGTTTAAGAGACAACTTATAGAGGTCTTCTGAACCCAAATGTGTTCTCCTCATCACCAGATCTAATGAAGGTCCCATCTCTTCCAATTCAATTCTTGGTATTTTACATCCTGACTTCTTCAGCAACACTCTGCAAAATAAAAAAATTGAAAAATCAACGTCCACCTAAATTCCCTCTAACTTGTGTGACTGCATGGTTGTTTTCTGAGACCCGCTCAGAGGTTCAAAGGTCCCATACAGGCAGAGAGCTCAGGTGACGAGCATGGGAGCGGGGCATCTGTAAGCAGCAGCTAAACAGAGCTGTACTGCTTGAACTCAAGACCTCCCAGAGCAGATAAGCAGGTGAAATAAGCAGGGAATAAGTAGCTGGGGGGAGAGGAAGTAAGTCATTAATTAATTAATTGGCTGGGGAAGAGGGGGGAGGGGAGTTTGGAGAGTGTGTCTCTTTTTCCTCGGGCAGACAGCACAGAGGAGAAACTCAGAAGTCTCTTCAACTCTTCTGGGCTGGGAAGGGGCTGACTGCATGTGGCAGGATGGGGGAAAGGGTGGGTGGGTGGCTGCTGTTATATATACTGTGAGGTGGAGGCAGGTGGCGGGGGAGGGGGGGGGAGGGGGGGGGGGGGGGGGGAGAGAGAAGAGAACAGGCTGCCTCAGAGATTTGTGCACCAGGAGGACATTTGCATGATTACATTTCATATAAAGTTTACATGGGTGTTAATGGCTTACGATAAGAAAAAGATTATTTTAACAGATTTTTTCTGAGTGTTGCAGACTTCTAAATCTGTGAATTTAATGACTTTTTAAAAATCTGGTGTTACTAATTAATACATGGTAAATTGTACTGCATTAAGGCAAGATCTTTGCTATGAGGTAGAGCTCTGGCTCTTATGAGTCAGAAGTAGCAAGTACTAGGTGTGATGCTAGTTCTGTAGGATGCAAGTTTCAAAGAGCTTACAAATAAGGTTTCATCTGTCTAGAATCCCTCAAGCCATATGTTAATTTGTTCTGGAGCTTCTACTCTTCCTCAACTGAAGAAGGCTAATTCCCTACCTTTGTACAGCACCTTTGTAGTCATTAAGGGTACATCTACACCAGTGGTCCCCAACCTTTTGGGGCTGCTAGGCGCCCGGGGGCAGGGCCACACATGTGCTGCGCGTCTAGGGGTGTGATGCTAGTTCTGTAGGATGCAAGTTTCAAAGAGCTTACAAATAAGGTTTCATCTGTCTAGAATCCCTCAAGCCATATGTTAATTTGTTCTGGAGCTTCTACTCTTCCTCAACTGAAGAAGGCTAATTCCCTACCTTTGTACAGCACCTTTGTAGTCATTAAGGGTACATCTACACCAGTGGTCCCCAACCTTTTGGGGCTGCTAGGCGCCCGGGGGCAGGGCCACACATGTGCTGCGCGTCTAGGGGCAGGGCACAAGAATGGCTTGGGCTGGCCCTGGTCACTCGGCAGGCACACATAAATGCCCCAGCGGGAGCCATGGCACCCACGGGCACCACGCTGGGGAACCACTGGTCTACACCATCACGCGTAGCTCAAAATAAGCTATGCATTTGAGCTATGCAAACAGTGTAGCTTAATTCATGATAGCTTATTTAGAAATTAAGAGTGTTATTCTGGCATCTTCCTTTTTCCTCATGCAACGAGGTTTACAAAAAGCTGGAATAAGCTGCCCATTATTTCAAAATTATTTCAAAATAATGGGCGTGTTGTTAAGATGCACACAACACTATTTCAGGATAACGGATATTATCCCAAAATAGCGCCGCTGTGTAGACGTACCCTAAGGGTACCTCACAGCAACTAGACATAGATATACCACGTCTTCACAACAAGCACGTTATTTTGGGCTCGCTATACTGATGTTCCTGTAAACCTCACTCTAGGAGGAATAAAGGATGTTTCGGAATAGTGCTTTATTTCAAAATTTGGAGCTGTATAGCCCATGCCAACTGACAAAATAAGCTATTTTGAAATAACATTGAAATAAGAGACACAATTTGCGTATCTTATTTTGAGTTATAGTGCTGTGTAGACGCACCCTAAAAGACTAAGACTATTGATGTCCTCAGCAAATACAATAGCAAATAAAACATACCTTTACTAGTGGCTTTCCTCTCAAGTCTAGAGAATGCAGAAAAATTATTTGTCATATTTAAAAGATATAGTGCCTAATCTTTTACTTCTGAATACAATTTAAGTTGAGATTTTACAAACCATTAAACCGATAAACTTTTTTGAAAGAGCTGGTTTGTTATATTTTGTTATGGTATTATCCCACATCAAACAATCTCATCTAGTTAAAGATGTACTATGCTGAGTTGCATTTTATGGTTTACCTTAATCTAATGCATATTATTTTATGTCAGATTGTAGATGATGGTTGTATTACACTGAAGCTTGTTCTTACACTTCCAAGGTGTCACAAGGAATTAACTGTAATAGTTTTGTTCTTGACTGCTCATGAAGCTTATGTGAAAATGAGCAGGTGAGGTACACCCTGACGTTACTAAAGAGTTAGCTTATTATGAAACTATATCCCATTGAGATTCTATGGACTGAAAAGTGGTAAAATAAGGCAATGGGTAAAAGAACAGTACATACCATTTACAATGAATATTGTTTAAAGCATATAAATCCATGTTCTATCACATTGCACCCAGTTTTGCAATCATTTATGCACCGTGTGATCTTTCTTAGATCAAGAGGATTACACAGTTTTTTTCCCCATGGCTGTGTCTAGACTGCAGGATGTTTTCGAAAAAAGTTGCCTTTTTTTAAAAAAACTTTTCCTGCATCTAGACTACAGCCGCGTTCTTTTGAAATTAAATTGAAAGAACGCGGCTTTTCTTTCGACGGCAGTACTCCTCATTTCACGAGGAATAAAGCCTTTTTTCTGAAGTGCTCTTTCGAAAAAAGGTGCTATGTAATGCAAACAGTGCTTTTTCAAAAGAGAGCATCCAGATTGCCTAGGGGCTCTCTTTCGAAAAAGCATCTTGCTTTTTCAAAAGTACTTATTGTAGTCTAGATGTTCTTTTTCGAAAGAAGCTTTTTCGAAAGTATCTTTCGAAAAAGCCTCTTTCGAAAGAGGCTTGCAGACTAGACATAGCCCATGATATTTAATACATTATCATTCTCTATTCAGATTAAAATAATAAGTCTGGTTCAATTAGGCATAAGTGAATTTGTCCCTATGAGACAATAGCGAACCTTTCCTTGCACCATTTTGAATGTTAACCTTGACCTAAAAGCAAACTTAAGTGATATTTATGCTCTGAACTAATGAAGTAATTTTGTTCTTCCATTTTGAGTGGGAGTTTTACCTGACTACAGACAACACAGTAATTCATTGAAGAAACAAAACTTCCAATAAATGTTCTATTTGTACCACAAATTTTCAAAAGAGTCAATAAAATATTCATTTTATAATAACAAAATATCCTTATTTAGAAATCCAGCAATCTTTCAAAATCTAATACTATGGGTTTATAGGAAACGTCAACTTACTTCCTGATCAACTCATATGCCACAAAACTCCATGGTTACAAATAGCCTTGTTTACTATGGAAATGTTACATGACGGAAAAGGACTCTTCTGGATTTCCAAATCTGCAGAGATAGCTTCCACTTATCTGATGATGGGAGTTTTGTGTCAAGAAGCACAGTTGAATCTCTACTGGGTATTCAGGTAAGTAGGCCAGGTTTGCAACAGTTTCCGGCAGGGCGGGCCCTGGCTGTGCTGTGCGCCGCAGCCAGCTCCCAGGGGGACACAGCCAGAGCCGAGCTCCTGCGGCCCTTTGAAATCAGCAGGGCTAGGTCAAGCAAGCATCCTGGTGTCCCGCCCCACCTCCTTGGGTCGGAGCTGCACGCAGGCAGCCGCGTGGGAAGAATCGCCGCACATCCCCCTTCCCACTGGCGCTCTGCTCCTCCGCTGGCCAGCGGATCGGATGAGGCCGCACTGCCCGTAGTGTGGGCTTCGGCCAGCCCATCATAACGGCCCACCGGGCCAGTCCTCCCCTGCACTCACCAGCTGAAAAGATCTACTCGCCACGGGTGAGTGCATCTGTCTAGGGGTGTGTGTGTGTGTGTGTGTATGTGTGTGTGTGTGTGTGTGTGTGTGTGTGTGTGTGTGTGTGTGTGTGTGTATATATACATACACGCACACACGCGCGCATGTGTGTTTGTTTATTGGTAGTGCACATCTACACACCACCTCAATATTGGTGTTGCACATAAGAAATTTCAACCTGCCCAAGGACAGAAAGTGTTAGAGGGAACACACTGCTGTCCACCTTTGCCACATTTCGTATTTGTATTTCTAATTATTTTCTGGACCACAGGACATAACTTGGCTTTTAAAAACATGTGCTACTGTTCAATTTTTTTTTTCCCCCCCACAAAACTTTAACCAAGGTACCACAGTTTAATCTTGAACATGTGTGCAACTCCCACTGGTTGCAGCAGAGTTGTGTACACACAGAATCATGGGCTGAATCTGACCCTTGAAAAACAGAAAATGATTACAGATAGAAATTAAACCTAAGCTCCTCTTACACAATGTACATATGGATGGGGAGGAGGGATACTTACTTGTAACTTCGCATATAAATTTTTCCATCCATAGCTGTGAAATGCAGAACATACTCTAACCCTGCCAGGCGAATAGAGGATACAGTAGGACCTCGAAAGAAATCTGAAAGAATATTTCAAGATAGAGGAACTTGTCACTTACATTTTTAAAGTACACCACCTTTTAAAAAACTCTTTCAGATGAGCAGAACTTTTGATTGAGTCTATTTGATAAAAAAATCTGAGATATAGTAGATGAATCTCAGATTATCTAAATAAACTAGAAACAGATTTTGGCCTTAGAATGCTTAACAGGGTCCCTTTCTGACCACATGCACGATTAGCAACTACTTAAAGTCTCAATTCTGCAAAGACTGAACTTGTTAACTTTGCATGTATGAGTTCACTTAGTGGGACTACTCATGTATGTAAATACATTAAGCATGTACGTACATAGGTAATCCCACTCAGTCTTGGTAAGAGCATAACAGACTCCTGCTGTCCAAAAATAATTTGGTAGCACTACGAGTTCTAGATCTTATTTTAAAGACCAACCTCGCCCACCACCCAGAGACTGAACAGACATTATTATTACTTCAACAACAATAACTCTAGTTTTGTGAAATAATACGAAGAGTGTTAGTTATTTCAATTTATTCACTCTTCTAAACTTTCAGCTATGAACTCAGAAAAATAAAACACTTCTCTCATATATTTATTTAAGTCAGCTCATATTTAACTAAGTATACAGTAATACAGAAATAACATTTAGCTAAGTTACAAGTTTGTTAGACAAAGTGATGAATTAAAAGTCTCTGGTTCCAAAATCAGCAGTTAGAGCAGGTATAAATAAGTGGTCAAGATCAATACAACATAAAAGTATATAAAATAAGGAGGTAATTTAGTATTATTTTGATTGTTGTACTCACCATTGTTTAAAATATATTCATTCTCTCTCTCTCTCTCTCTAATATTTTTTGTGTATATATATATATACACACACACACACAAAGTATCTGTCTGTCCATCTGTGAATCTGTTTGTTCTTATCTAAACTATTAGAGTTAGGAATACCAAATTTGGTATGTTGTTTCCTCTTATCCTATCTTAAAGTAAGGTAAGAAGTTGGTTGTGCCAGAACAATGGGATGTCCCTGGAATTCAACTGTTTCTCATAATATGGAAAGGGAAGGGTCTAACAGGAGAGACAGTTATACTTCGAAATGACCATATAGGGTCAGCAAGTGCCCAAGTGGGAAGACATTGGTCAACAGTAGCAGACACCCTGGCCAGCCCAAGGGAGCACCAGTGGCACTAATCCCACTCCAGGCCATGCCTGGGCAACACTGGGTAAGTCTTCTAGCTCTTTTATAAAGTAATTTTTCCTGTGATGAAACAGAACATCTTTTCTCTTTATCAAATGAATGAATACAAGCTGAACCTCCCTAGTATGGCATTGTTGGTCCAGCAACATCCATGATCAGTTATGATTTAGTTAGCAGGCTGTCCGCTTATGGGTGTGGCCAAGTTTCCAGCAGTCCCATAAAGTTTTGTTTTTTTTTTACAGCCACCAGTCCTGGCTCTCAGTGTTCTGTGTTGTTTTTTAGCTCTAATTTACCCCAAAATGTCTTCTAAGAACCCAGTAAGCAGTGGAAGTGTTGGTAATGCTGCTAGACCAGTGGTTCCCAACCTTTTGTTATGAGCAGGACTGGCAAACCCATTCACAAACTTCTGGCAGACCAGTCATATTGTATTTGCATGTTCATTATGCAAATATTGAATATGCAAATAAAATGCTGCCTGACCCTAGCCCCAACCCAGCCCCTTGCTCCCCACCACTTAGCACCCTTTGACCCCCACGCCTATGCCACATGCCTGTTGACCCTTTAGCTTCTGACCCCTACAGTCCATGCCAACACCCTCTTGCCCCCTGACCTCACCACGCCCTCGCCCCCACCCCTCACACTCTCCAGAGCGAGATGGCCCCCTTAGGGAGTGTAGCTGTTATTGTCGTGTGGGCAGAAGGATTGGTCGATGGCAGCATACCTCCACCCTCCCTAAGCACATCTTGTGCCCCATGGGTGGGGGGAAGCACAGAGCCCCAGCCAGGACGCCATTACCGAGCAGGGAGGAGGCGCCAACTGCTCCGCCTCCTCAGCCCCAGCACCACTGCTGGCAAAAATGGCTGCATGATAGGGGGCAGGGGGAATGTGGAGCCCCATCCAAGCCGCCATTACCCAGGAGTGAGCAGGGAGGGAAGCACCTCCTGCTCCACCTTCCCCTGCTGATGCTTCAGCCCCAGCGCTGCCGCTGGCAAAAGTAGCTGTGCAGGCAGGGAAAGCGGCTATTGGCGGCATGCGTGTTCCCTCCTCCTTCGTGCCTCCTGCTCTGCATCCTCCTGCCACACCTCAGCCACCACGGCTGCTGGAGCTGAGCAGTCACGAATAGCTGGCTTGAGCTCCAGCAGCCGCCATGGCCCGGCAGCCAGCAGGTCGCGGACCAGCGGTTGAGAACCGCTGTGCTAGACAATATTGACTTCCCATGGTTTGGCAAATTCTCTGGTTCGGCACCAGTCAGGTCTCAAGGGTGCCAGGCTAAAGAGGTTCAACCTGTACTTGGTACTGTGCTGCAATTAGTATTTTTGCTATTGTATATATACATATTCAGCAGACAAACCCAGTGTGATCAATTAGATATGAAAACAAGCTTACAGTTTGTGCTTACAGTTTTACAGGGAACAAATTGAGATTCCAGTTAGCTATCCATTAGTTGTCAACACAATTCTCATATCAGGGTCATGAAAACAGAATGTGAGCAAAAAGAACACAAACATGCAAACCTGTCAACCATTTGAAGAGGGTGGAGGAAGAATGTGACCTTGTCCTAGGGAACAGGATATGTTAATAAAAAACAAAAGATCAATACCCAGAATCAAAAACTGCTGATTTGGTGGAGGGAGAGGAGAGGCCTCATTTCCCTTTTAAGTTTCATTTTAGATTCTAAGCCAGCTTTTTCCTCGGTGACCTTTTTCCAGCAGCATCAATTCTGAAGCTATGCTGAAAATAAAGTCTTACAGGAGGGAGAGACTGCCTGGAGTCTAGCCAAAAAAATACTTTATTTTCCCTTCCTCTTTTGTTGGGTTACTGGATTCCTATCTAAAGAAATAGATTTTTCACAAGCTGTAGCTAAGTCACTGTGTCTCAGCATGTAAAATTGCATCTACATTGTTTTGTATCTGCATTGGTAGATTATCCTTTATTATGCTCTTGTGGTATAGCTTTCCAGTCACAAGATGATCTTTATTTCTAAATACAGGGAGTCAGCAATTTAAGTTTCTATGATATCCACCAGCTATAGACCCCTCCTTGCAACTTTTAGGATTTGAAAATTATGGACAATTCGTATTTTGAGATAGTCCACTCTAGTCCAACCAGAGACCTTGTTTTCCTTATCTTATTAATTCCTGCAACCAGTTTACCCCTTGTTATTCCCTCCACTTGTTAAATGTGTTTCAAAGATGTCTGATTTAGAAACCATAGCAAAGAATGTTTCAAGACTTCCATTTTGTTTTGAAGGACTTGAAATGTGTGTTCCAAAGTAATTTATAATTTGGCCACTTAGTAACAAGATAAGTTGACTGAACAGTACAAACACTGCCTGACTTTGTGTTTGGGTAGCCCAAGAATTGGAACAGTTGTTTTAATCTGCTCTTTGTCCCCCTTGTATGACCTCTACCATCTGTCTTGCAGGAAAATCTTAATGACCCCTTTATAGCTACGCAATGACTCTAAATAATTTGTACAAACATGGTGATAGGAGGAAGGAGAAAGTGCTCTCTCAAAACAAACTGGTCTCCTTCTATCCAGTCCAACAAGGGATGTTAATTCGCTTTTAATCAACTAATTGATTACTCAATGCAAAGAGCTGGCTGGCTCTTAATACATTTAAAAAACAGAGGCACGATGGCTAGGACTGGACATGAACCAGGAACCAGCTGATTTTCAGCCCACCTAGTCCCCCACTATGCCTCTACCTCTCCTGCCACTCGTAGAGCCATTGCTGGGGCGAAACCGGCTTTTAAGTCAGCTTTCCCAGCACCAGCTCCTTGCGAAGGGGTGGGGGAACGACTAGTTGAATCACCACTCGACTATCCAATAAGCTTATGCTCATTGGATTGTCGACTAGTCGCTTGTATCCCTAGTCCAATCCTGCATTTTAAGAACGAACCAACATCAGGCAATTTTTAATAGAGAAGTGGGTCCATTAAAAGAATAAGTGGTGAAGATATGTTACAAATATGTGTATAGGAGGCTATTCGAAACGGGGTGCAGCAACTACATCTCTCTGAGCACAGAATATACATGGACTCTTAGCACCACCAGCAGAAACCAGTATTAGTAAAACCACTACTACAATTTTAAGACAATGTGTGTGTATGGAAGTGGGACCGGAAAGAAAATTATAAATCTTTGGTTGGTCTATGTGCAGGGGTAAAGGGAAGCTACCATTTACATAACCAAACCATTATGAGATGCCCTAAACTGTTTAAAAAATGGATTTGAAGGTTTAATTTGGTTACTAAAAAAACATGCAAGTTCATGCTCTATACCCAATTACTTTTAAAATGCATGACTACTGTCATGAGTTCCCAAAAATGTACAAAATGTTCTTATAGACCACATCTATGAAAACTTGGTTGTTTACCACTAACATCAATAATGTCACACAGCTCTAGTAACAAGGGGATACTAGATAACTGAGCCTCTAGCATTGGGTAATAACAGTACAATAATAAGGTCTTTACAACAGCAGGGACAGTTTCCTAAGTTTCTTGCCAACAAAATGATAAATTAAATACATTATCTCCCTCAGGACCAGAAAGAGTTATTCACTATCATGGAACAGCTATTTCATGATAGGTCAAATTGTAAGCCTGAGCTACCTTATTACAGCAACAGCTCATTAAATCTTTAACCTAAGAAACTCCAGTCTTCCACCTACTGTTTTGTCTTTAGACATTTCACCCAAGTCAACAGAATATCAAAGTATTTGGTGGGTGTTTGGCATATGTTCTACAGCAAAAAATGGATGCGTATTTGACTGAGGTATGTTTGGGCATAAACAAAAGCTTAAAGCAAACAAATGGGATAGGGAAATGTTACTCAGATGGACAACAAAATAAAATAAAAAGGGCTAGACTTTGATCATCCGGCACAGGGCTACTCAACTTTGGAAGCTCGGGGGGCCACAATGAAACTCACAGCACATGCTGAGGGCCGCAATTTAAGTGTGGTCGTATATACATGTGTATGTGTATATATATGCAAATAGCTTCTTTCACTCTGATGCAAATGAATACAAAGATTAAGGCAAGACTACACAACACAGACCCCATTTAAGGCAGTTCTGTGATATTTATAAAATGCAATATTTATCCAATTTTCACCCATGACAGAACTTTTAATGATCAATGACAATTCAGGAATTTAACTACTAAAACGTATATCAACAGAAGACCATTATATTGACTACTTCTTTGGTTTTGGCTCTCTCTCGCGGGCCACGTGTTGAGCCCTGCGTAAATCCAAACTGCACTGCGGTCCACAAACAAATGGGCCGTGGGCCACATTCGGCCCGCGGGCTACATGTTGAGTAGCCCCAATCTAGAAAATATTGGTCAATGATTGGCCACACCTCAGTAAACTTGCGTTTCATACAAATCTCAATTGTGTGTACGCATTTTGATCTATCCTAGCAACAATGCAAATATGCTTAAGGAGATGCACATTAGAACAAGAATGTGCAGCTTACTTGTATGTAATGATTCTCTACCAGAAATGTGAGCAAAGTGGCACAAACCTGATCTTTTATGGTGTGCATTCTATATAATTTGAAAAGTGATGGAATCATTTAATCATTCACAAGCCCACCAGCTCTTAGAACTGACTGAAAAATAGCTTTGCCATAAAATTCAACCTCTTTGGTGCTATGCCTCTGAAAAATACACAGACAAGCTCTTACGAATAGCAGTGATTAATTTATTAACGCAACAAAGTCTTTTTTAGCACCTCCAATAATTTAGAAAGACCAGGTAACTATGAAACCAAAGGCAGTGGCAGTTTTTTTAATGAGATCTTGGTGCAGGGACAGAAGTGGGGCAGGATTGCCAGTGGGGCTATGAAAGGTTAATTGGCTAAGTGGTAAGCATCACCCCCTAAATGGGTAATGCTTATCAGTTCTGGTTAACAACAGGGGCTGGAGCAGCTCCCCACCTGCCCCAGGCAAGGTTGGTAGGCTGGAGTAATCCTACCCATGACAGTCCCAGCTCCATCGGGTGCAGGTTACATTTTGGCTCCCCTGTAATCTCTGCAAGCCCCACTCCTGGGAAGGCAGCTTTGCTGCAGCAGAGAAGCCTCCTCTCCTGGAGTGGAGCTGGCAGCCCCTGCCGGCAGGGAGGCTTCGTTGCAGGTTCCTCAGTATAAAGCTTATTTAACAACAATACGTGTAACCATGTAAGCTCTAAGATTTTCAGTGAATACACAATTACCTTTTTAACCGACTTTTTACATCCCTATTTGCCAGTCACTCTGCCTCCTAGTTTCACTCCTAAAGCTTACCTCCCACAAGTACTTAGTTTGTGACTAATGCCATGATACCATTTTACTTTTAAGCTTCCAATAGAATAAGTTAAACTAGCTTAGAAAAAATTGGTGTAGAAAGCACATCAATTTTTGTAGTTGCTCTCAGCCCTCCCAATTAAAATCCATAACATCTGACTTATCTGCATATTCTCTGCCTTTTCCAATGCCTCCCAACCTTGATGCACAAAAAAGTTTATATACTTGTTTAATGCAAATCTGTGCCCAGTTTAAATACACACACATTGTATATATTTCTGCCTTAGTAACCACTTCTAATTTTCACTGCAGATATCGAGCCCTCAAATTCAACATAATGAGGTCCTGATTATAACTGGTTGAAAGTTGTCTGATGGAATTGTTTACCATTTGAAAATGAAGCATTTTGACAAGATTTTTTTTATTATTTCCAAAAAGCATTTGCAAGGAATTTTCATATCATGGGAAACTGACTTTTTGTTGAGATTAAATTAGCTTTGGAAATGTCAATTTCCCCACTTCAACCAGCTCTGATTTTCATTGCTTTTTTAAATTATAAATTTAACTTCAGTTTTATAGTATATAGTAAATCCTAACGCCAATTTTTTAATGTTAACTTGCATTCTTGAACATGGTCAATCATCAACTGGCAAACCAACATTTCTCAACATTCAACAGTGCCACAGTTTATGAAGTCCCACTGCTCATAGAGTCTTATTCAAATTACTTACCAATGAGAAGACTTTTCAATCTTCTATATTCTTCATTTAAATCAAATGTGTCACCAGCAAATATCAACATGGGCTTTGTTCCTTCAGGACACTTGCTGTTCTAGTGGACAATCAAACAAAGCAACAAAGTGGGGATTAGGACTGCGAGGCTCAGCCTACCCAGCAGGGGCACAAGTTGGCACTGGCATTTCAGCCGGGGGGGGGGAGATTTCCAGCCTCCCAGGCCAGGCTAAAGAGGGGTTTTTATTTTGGTTTTTGTGGCTTCTCATTTGTGTGTGGCCCTCAACTGATTTTTCTGTGGGTCAATGGTCCCCAGCACAAAAAAAGATTCCCCACCCCTGCACAGGCATATTATTTATGCAAGTGATCCAGGCACATTCCATTCTAAGCTCTTCTGGACATCGATAAGCACAAATAAGTATGCGTTTAGGTTTTCAGTGTTTTTAAACAGTGAGTGTTGGTCTCATTTAGGTTGATTATGGAAAAAAAGATTCCTTACAGTAAAACGTATTAAGATTCTGGAAAAGACCCTACACAAAAGGGATGTTAAATTACGTTTAATAAGCCACTCAATGGAATTTCCATCGAATAGTCAATTAGTTGATAAGGGGAGGCAAATTGCAGAGCAGCAGTGGGGCTAGCTTCCAGCCCCAGAAGCTAATCCTGCTGTGGCTCTTCCTTTTAAATGTATTACGAGCCACTAGGCTCCTAACATATTTAAAAGGCTAAAGCACAGCAGGGGAGGAGGGCAGAGACCAGGCAGGGCAGGGGGGTAGGGACCAGGGCGCCAGCTGGGACAGCTGATTCCTGGCTTGCGCCCAGTCCTTTGCTACGCCTCTGCCTCCTCTGTCTCCCTTGGAGATGGTGTGGGGTGGGAACTGGCTTTTAAGCCAGCTCCCCCCAGCACCGGCTCCTGTTCCCCCCACTTGCTATCTCTCTCTGATAGAGGTAGAAAGGGGGGTGGAGAGGAAGCAACTAGTCGAGTATCCGATAAGCATATGCTTATTGGATAGTTGACTAGTTGCTTATATTCCTACCTACATTGGAAGTTCATTTGTTTGTAACTATTTAGAACTAGACTACATGAAACACAAGCAATCACACTATATTTCTTGCATTGGGAAGAAGATGGAAAAGACTTATTAGATCATTTACTGCATTTGGATATAGCCTTATGCAGCCATATAAAATAACTAATTTTTTTTGGCCAACCAAAATTTATTATGGTCACAACAAAGCGAACATGTTAGATTTAGATTTTTTTTTAAGTCTAGAAGTCAAAATGTTGGCCCCCAGACTGACCCAGAGACAGTTTCTGAAAATCACTGTTTGCATGTGTATAACTGATGCCATGAGAAAGTTTCAGAAGTATTTCACACTGATAGCAAACATATCCTTAGCTATAACGAGATGAACTCTGCCCTTGGAAATCCATACATGGTTTCTCCCAATAGCCTAAAGCGACAAGGAGTCCTGTGGCACCTTATAGACTAGCAGATGTATTGGAGCATAAGCTTTCGTGGGCAAAGACCCACTTCGTCAGATGACATGCATCTGACGAAGTGGGTCTTTGCCCACGAAAGCTTATGCTCCAATACTGTTAGTCTATAAGGTGCCACAAGACTCCTTGTCGCTTTTGCAGATCCAGACTAACACGGCTATCCCTCTGATACTTGACACCCAATAACCTAGAAGACCTTGTATGGGTAGAATCCAACCTAGTAGTTTTGTAAACTGACCTAATTTTTTGTTTGCTGCTTTAAAAAAAAATAATAAATTATAGACTTGGTTTGCTCCCCCAAAAAAATTTGCAAAGAAACACTCTGGCAAACATACAGCAAATTTTAATAACATTTTTACAAAGCACAAAAATAAGATTCTAATGTGAATATATGTGTTAATCCTAGAAGTCTAAGATAGGCAATAATGTAAAATGATTTTGTTCTCTTTGCGTAAAGATTCATTACAAGAACTCAGCAATGAATGTCACTAGAGTCCCCACATTGTTTAAGAATATCTTACCTTAATATCTTTTAGTGACACAAATCTCTCAATGCCTAGCTCAATCATATCCAAGACATGATAATCAAACATACGACCTATGAAAGAAAACACAATTTTGGTTTAGACATTTATTCTCAAGAACCATTTCTTCCATTCTATTTAAAAAAAAACATTTTACCTATTATTAGATTGTTAGGCCGCTTTTTATTATGTGAACCGAACAGAAACAAAGAACAATCCGACTTCTTGGAAAAGAACTCCTATAAGAGGAAAAAAGATAACTTCAGTTTGAAAACACAGTAAATATTTGATGATCATTAATACATCAGTTGAACAGCTATGACGTTTCAAGTTGAAACCCACTGCCCCTTGGAAGGTTAATTCATTATTTTGTGCCAGATAATATTGCGAGTTTAGGTCAAATGCCAGGAAAAAAGCTCACACCTCAGTGGCTCAGGAACCAAATTACCAACTAACATTACCCAAAAAAAGCCACAGTAGCTTGAGTTCATTGTTTCATTTTACTATATCACTATTCATATTTAAACAGAGGAAATACTATTCTATATTATTCTAACAGCAAGTAAGTTAATAACTTGGAGCAAGCTGATAACTTGATTGGTTAATAACATAATAAAAGCACCCTGTCTGGTTAATAATAGACTGGATAATAATTAAATCATACTCTTTATGATTAAAAAGAGTTAAAGAGCTGCAAAGAGCTGTCGGAAATCCCATTAATGAGCCACTTAAGGCTTGCAAGTCACAATCTGAATATCATTGACCTAAATATTCCATTTCCTAATTTTGTCACATTAATACTTGTTCTTTACATTTTTGCAGTCATTCTAAACTTCTTTTCTGCCCTCTTTGAAGCAACATCCTGATACATACTTTTAAACATTTATATTTCCTCATTTAGTATATGTCTACACTGAAATCCGAAGTGTGACTGCACCACACAAAGATGTATCTGCACTCATACAGATAAAAATAGAAGCATAGACAGGCTAGCAATGGAAGAGCATACCAGAATGCTTGTGTACTCGATGACACTGAAATTACACTGCTATTTTTAGCTACACTAGTGTGGGTAAAACTAGTATGGATACGTATATTTGAAATTCCATCATTTTGGAGACTAGTTGCCACCACCAGTTTTCCTAGTTGCTATTAACTGAAAAGTAGGATATTCACCAAAACACACAGTCTTGCTCAAAACCAAGAAGAGAGGAAAATCAATGAAATAGAAATTTAAAGGCCAAAGGGAAATCCTATAATGCGGAGGTTCCCAAACTTTTCTTATTGCAGAATCCCTTCCAAATCTACCTCTACTCTTCTCATTAACAGATATCATGTGTGTTCTTAACACTACATGTTTTTAGCCATCTGTCTATTTCATATGGAAGTACAGATACAGTTGTAGTGTGACATATCTGTGTTCATTTGTAAGTAAATTAACTACCATATTTTATATAAGAAATTCCAAGCGTTTGAAAGTTTCACCAAAGTATCCTATAATGAAAATGCAATAAATAAAATCCACCATTACACAATTGCTCCCACATACCCCAGTATGCACATACCCGTTTGTGAATCCCTGCTCTAAAGGACACATTCCAAAGTAAGCCCAGCTGACTTGCTGGCTATTTGGCAGAGGGAAGATATATGACATGACACACTATATATGTGCAGATACTAAATCGCTGCCAACAGAACATTCATTTGATATATGGATGAAGTGAACATTTCACTTGGAGATGGACATTAAGGAATATCCTCCAGTGTTAGGAGATATGGATACACAGCTCTCCATTAACAGAAAAAAATGACAAAAACAACATAAAACAGATTAAGCCTTAGTGAGAATGATGCAAAACACCACTTCATAGTAATACAGATATTTTAATCTTCAAAACACTTTAGACGTTCCATGAAGCTTACACACTTTGTTGATCCAATCCCTAATTGTTGCCTTATACAAGGCAGTGGACCGTAATATTGAAATATCAGCATATGTTTCCCCATGAGAACTGAGTCAGTTATGTTTGTTGTGGTTAACTCAGGGATGAACAATAACCGGTGGGGGCCGGATCCAGCCTGCCAAGCCATTTGATCCAGCCGGCAGCCCAGCCCTCCCCTCTCCTTCC